GGCCCGACAGCGACGAGTGTGTGGAGATGGCGGAGGGAGCTGGATATCGTGCTGGCCCCAGTGATAGGGTACCAAGACGTGGTTGGCTGGTTCTCTGCTAACTCGGAGATCCTGTGTCTTATCAGGTGCGTTCAATGGCATGCTGTGACACTCTCTCAACGGCAACGCGGTGGTGTATTTCATCGGGCCGGACAGCGATGAGTGTGTGGAGATGGCGAGGGAGCTGGATATCGTTTTGGGACCCTGTCATCGGGTATCAAGATGTCGTTGGCTGGTTCTTTCTCGGCCAGTCTGGGTGACCCTGTGTCCTGGTATCAGATCAGGTAGGCTTTACAGGTGCCTGAACCCGCAGATCAGGGTTCACCCTGTCTGTCCCGTTGTGTCTCCCATCTCCCCTTCTCCCCCCAACCCCTCAGGTGCGCTGGTTCATCCAAAGGCCTTCATGGAGCGCCATGCCTTCTGTCTTCTCCCCTCATCTCCGCTTACCCTCATGTATCTCATGTCAACTCCCTCTTTCGCTCCCTTCCCTTCCTCTCCCCCCCTTTCCCCCCCAACTCCCTCAGGTGCGCTGGTTCATCCTGAAGGCCTTCATGGAGCGCCATGCCTTTCCGCGCATCTTCTTCCTCGACTCGGATGTCATTCTCTTTGCCAACGTCACTGAGCTCGCCACCATGCTGTTTTCAAGGGTGCACCTCGTGGTGTCGCAGCGCTGGCCCAGGTACGAACGCATGTGCTTGCCTAGGTGTGCAGGTATTCAGGCGTGTGGGCTACCCGTATGCGTGTGGGGCAATGTGGCTGCATGGTGGGCTACACGTGGGTGCATCTTCTTCCTCGACTTGGACGTCATCCTCTTTGCCAACATCACTGAGCTCGCCACCATGCTGTTTTCAAGAGTCCGCCTCGTGGTGTCGCAGCGCTGGCGCAGGTACGAGTGGGTGCGTAGGCATGGGTGCATAGGTATGGTGCGTAAGTATGGGTGCGTAGGTATGGGTGCGTAGGTATGGGTGCGTAGGTATGGGTGCGTAGGTATGGGTGCGTAGGTTATGGGTGCGTAGGTGTGGGTGCGTAGGTGGTGGGTGCGTAGGTGTGGGTGCGTAGGTATGGGTGCGTAGGTATGGTTGCGTAGGTATGGGTGCGTAGGTGTGGGTGCGTAAAGTATGGGTGCCTAGGTATGGGTGCGTAGGTATGGGTGCGTAGGTATGGGTGCGTAGGTATGGGTGCGTAGGTATGGGTGCGTAGGTATGGGTGCGTAGTGTGGGTGCGTAGGTGTGGGTGCGTAGGTATGGGTGCGTAGGTATGGGTGCGTAGGTATGGGTGCGTAGGTATGGGTGCGTAGGTGTGGGTGCGTAGGTATGGGTGCATAGGTATGGGTGCGTAGGTATGGGTGCGTAGGTGTGGGTGCGTAGGTCTGGGTGCGTAGGTGTGGGTGCGTAGGTATGGTTGCGTAGGTATGGTGTGTAGGTATGGGTGCGTAGGTATGGGTGCGTAGGTATGGGTGCGTAGGTATGGGTGCGTAGGTATGGGTGCGTAGGTGTGGGTGCGTAGGTGTGGGTGCGTAGGTATGGGTGCGTAGGTATGGGTGCGTAGGTGTGGGTGCGTAGGTATGGTTGCGTAGGTATGGGTGCGTAGGTATGGGTGCGTAGGTTTGTAGGTGTTCGGGGTGGTGGTTATGGTGCGGGGTGTATAGCCATCTTTTTACTCGACTCGGACGTCATCCTCTTCGCCAATGTCACAGAGGTCGCCACCAGGCTGTTCTCGAGAGTTCACCTGGTGGTGTCGCAGCGCTGGCCCAGGTATGGTTGGGTGTTCAGTTGTGGGGGGGTATGCATGTGGGGTATAGGGGCGTCTTTTTCCTCGACTCGGACGTCATCCTCTTCGCCAACGTCACAGATCTCGCCACCAGGCTCTTCTCGAGAGTCCACTTGATCGTGTCCCAGCGCTGGCCCAGGTACACTGCTGTGCATGGGTATGGAGGGTGCCAGTATGGGCGTGGATGTGTCGGTGCCTCGTCGCCAACATCACAGATCTCGCCACCAGGCTCTTCTCGAGAGTTCATCTGGTGGTGTCGCAGCGCTGGCCCAGGTACGAGTGGGATCGGTGCAGCGACTCCTTAGGTAATGGCGGCATGGGTTATACGTATGGGAGGCATGGGCACAGGTGTGTGGATGCCTATTTGCCAACGTCACTGCACTCGCCACCATGCTGTTTTCCCGCATGCACCTGGTGGGTGTCCCAGCGCTGCCTACTTTTGAGGCGCCTCAAAAGTCGTCGCCATTCTCCTTTCCTGCATGTATCTGGTGGCTGTCCCAGCGCTGGCCCAGGTATGGGTGGGGTGGGATACAGCGTGTCTCACGCTTCGCACTATACCCCCTGGTACCCCTCATGCCAACGTCGAGGGTGCACACGTCACGTGCTCGTCACTTGTGCTCTGAGTGCCCCGCACTATTGGAGCCCCGCACTATCGGAGCCCCGGGCCCCAGCCAGCCAAAACTAGTTACCGCAATTATTCCTTTACACAAGGTTTTCAAAGCAAGTTTGAACACACACTAAACAAACAGTTTGCTAAAAGCTGCTGCTGCCACGCAAAGACCATGACTCCTGTTTGGGGTTCGATTGCGCGTGCTCCTCACTTGTGCTCTGAGTGCCCCGCACCATCGGAGCCCCGCACTATCAGAGCCCCGGGCCCCAGCCAGCCACAACTAGTTACCGCAATTATTCCTTTACACAAGGTTTTCAAAGCAAGTTTTAACACACACTAAACAAACAGTTTGCTAAAAGCTGCTGCTGCCACACAAAGACCATGACTCCTGTTTGGGGCTTGATTGCACGTGCTCCTCACTTGTGCTCTGAGTGCCCCGCACCATCGGAGCCCCGCACTATCGCAGCCCCGCTCTATCGGAGCCCCGGGCCCCAGCCAGTACGCATCTGTGTCTCGCGTCCTTTTAAATTTCAGGTTGCCTGTACGTGTGATGTTCTCGCGTCCTTTTAAATTTCAGGTTGCCTGTACGTGTGATGTTCTCGCGTCCTTTTAAATTTTAGGTTGCCTGTACGTGTGATGTTCTCACGTTCTCTGGATGTCCTCTCCTCCTTCCCACTCCCCTCGCCATCCCTTCATCCTCCCTTTTGCCCCGTTTTCTATCTGCCCCCGCTCCCTACCAGTCTCCGAGCGCCAGGTCCCAACCAGTATGCATCCACGCTAGTGAGCGGTCACGTGTCCCTCTGGACGTACGATGCCCTCTCTGACTGTTCCCTCCCCTTCCTTCCCTCCTTCCCTCACCCATTCCTTAACAGTCTTCGTGCCCCAGGCCCCAGCCAGTATGCGTCCACAGCAGTGAGTGGGCACGTGTCCCTCTGGACGTACGATGCTCTCTCTGACTTCCTCGACTTCTTCCAGCTGTTTGTTCAGGTATGCGCTCAGGTGTTGGTCAGGTGCTGCTCTGTTGGTGTTCAGATGCTGCTCTGTTGGTCCTCAGGTGCTGCTCTGTTGGTGAGCATGCTCATAGCGACATGGTGGCTGGCTGTTGCTTGTTTCCCCATTTCTTTCTTTCGTCTCACCTAAGGAAGCACTTCTGTACGGCCAACCAGGCCTTTGAAGCTCCTAATAAAGCTCCCATAGCCATTCCCCTACTCTCCCGCTCCGCATTCCTTCTTCCTCTCATCCAGGAAGCAACGCTGCATTGAGGTGGTTTTTGAGGCGCCTCAAAAACCACCTCGCTCCACATTCCTTCTTCCTCTCATCCAGGAAGCAACGCTGTACGGGCAGCCTGGTGATGCGCGGCTTGTAGCGGAGCGTGCTTATAACAGCAATGTAACTACTACTATCACATTGCCCCCCTCTCTCGTTGTCCTCTCTAGGAAGCAACCCTGTACGGGCAACCTGGCGATGCACGGCTTGTAGCGGAGCGTGCTTATAACGACATGGTGGTGCTGGGCTGGTACACGCACAGGATCTGCTGGATGAAAAACCCTCAGAACCTGCACCCCCAGGTATGATGAGTAGATATGCAGCATGCTTGGGCCCCGGCATCCCCATGTGTGCTTATAACGACATGGTGGTGCTGGGCTGGTACACGCGCAGGATCTGCTGGATGAAAAACCCACAGAACCTGCACCCCCAGGTAAATTTGAAACCCTACACCCTGGTTGATCAGAGCCCAGAACCTGCATGTATGAGTAATATGTATACATTGGGTGCTGGGATGGTACACTCACAGGGTGTGCCGGATGAAGAACGCCCAGAAACCTGCACCCACAGGTGTGGCTGAGTCTACATCCACAGGCATGAATAGGTACGCCGCATGCGTGTGCCCCTACATCTCTATTTGTGCTTATAACGACAGGGTGGTGCTGGGATGGTACACGCACACGGGGTGCTGGATGAAGAACCTTCAGAAACCTGCACCCACAGGTACTATTCTTACATCCAGAAGTATGGTTAATCGTCTCCCTTGATGCTTGACTTTGTTACAGTATTTCCTGGATGAGGAACCCCCACAACTTGGTCCCACAGGTGTGGTTAATTATAGTGCAACACCTGCAGGTATTAGTAATGAATCCAACTTTTCGTTTCTATCTCCCACCCTCCTTCCCTGTTTCCCCGTTTTAACTCCCACCCCCTTCCCTGTTTTTCCGTTTTGACTCCCACCCGCGCACTCCCCCGCCCATCAGTGCATCTGTGACAAGGAAAGTGGGGTCACTCCCGAGCGGTCAGTGCGCATACGAGGGCAGTTCACACCCAAGTTCCGGGTCGACTGGTTTGCAACGCCCCTGTGGTAGCTGGTGCCATGCCTCCCTTTCATCCTCCCCTTCCTGCCTCTCTTCCCTCCCCTCTGTCCCTTCCCACCCTGCCCCTCCCATCAGTGCATCTGTGACAAGGAGAGTGGGGTCACTCCCGAGCGGTCAGCGCGCATACGGGGGAAGTTCACACCCAAGTTCCGGGTCGACTCGTTTGCAACGCCCCGCTGGTGCAACGCCACAGACTGGTGGGACGAGGGGTGGTGCGTCTTTGATAACAACTTCTCCATCCAGGTGAGAACTTGACTTCTCGACAGAGCATAGCAGGTTTCCTGTATGGAAAATGACTGGTTTCTCTTACTGGTGGGACAAGGGGTGGTGTGTCTTCAATAGCTACTTATTTATTCAGGTAAGAACAGAGCCGCATCAGCTGTTGACAATGTTTTAGGGGCTGAAAAGCCTTTGATAACATAGCATATGCACACACTTGAGTGACAGGGCCAAGGACTGCGAGAAGCAGAGGTCGCCGGTTCAATTCCTGCGACTGCGTTCTCCCCTGCAGTCACCCACTCAGTTCTTTAAGTAACCGGCCTCAGGACGGCATGAAGTGCCCATCGCCGATGTACTACACTCACTTTGACGACTGGACCAAGGAGGGCAAGAAGTAGACTTCGCGAGTTCAATTCCTGCTGCTGCACCTTCCTGTTCTTCTCACTGCTCCCCTCCCCCCCCCCCCTTCCCCTGCAGACGCCCACTCAATTCTTTAAGTATCGTCCTCAGGACGGCATGAAGTGCCCCTCTTCTATGCACTACACTCATTTTGACGACTGGGCCAAGGAAGGGGAGAAGCAGACGTCGCCGGTTCAATTCCTGGGAGTGCACTTTCAGGCGCACAGAAAGGGGTACCTCACAAGGGGGGATGATCCAGCAGCCACATGGGGTTCGAGCCCTGACTGATAATGTGATGTGAAGTAACTGGCTATGAATGTTACCTGATTATGTTGCCTGCAAAGCTTTCTCACAATGTCTGAAGTGATCAATGTATCTGCTTGCAGTCACATCCATATGTAAATGGCATTTCAGCTTTAGACAGTACCTCTGTTATATGAATTGTGCATTCCGTTTTTTTAACGTGAAACGGAGCAACTTTATCGAGTACAAGTAATCTTAGGCTGTAGCAAGCCGGTGCCTCGGTGTCATCTCTTGAGGAACCTGGGAACTCGCATACTTTGACCTGGTATGGTTCGGTAATCCATGGTTGAACGCTTTAGATGTTCACGAACCATTCTCAAACGCTCTGAAACGCATTGGACCGCGGTGTTGCGTTGCGTCACATTCTGGGAATGCAGCAGATGTCCACCATCTCTTGCTCACATTGACTCGTGACATATTTCCATCGCTGCTAGGTTCTCAGGGCGCTTCACCTCTCAGTTCGAACAGGACGGTTGTTCGAACAGGCGAAATGTTACATTTTCGCCACTCCTCGTATGGGTGTTCGTGACGTCGCTAGTCGGAAATTTCGCGAATTTGAACAGAGTTGTCACACGGGGCACGAAGCTCTCCATTCCGCACGTTCGAACAGAGTTGTTCGAACAAAGTTGGGTTTGGTGACAGGAATTCCGCATGGACGACTGATTTTATTGGTTAGCAGGCTTCGGGTCGCACTCGAATGTTTGCGACCATTGCAAATGTCGCCATGCAGGAGAAAGTTCATCAAAAAGGACATTGTTGTTGGGAAACAACAAGGTGAGCAGTAGTAGAAGAGCACGAAGAGACTGTTTGACTGGATGGGCGAAAAATGAGTCAAACTTGAATGGCAGACGACAGAATTATTTTTTTGCGACGTTTCGCGAAGTCGTCCAGCACTTGGCGACGTCGTATGTTTGAACAGGCTGTCACCTCTAGTCACGAGCTGTCACATTCACCAAGGTGTTCAAATTTGTGTTCGGATCTCGTCGGGAAACTGTTCGTACAGTGAATTCGTTACGTATGTTCGGATTTGGGCCTTCCAGCCCCGAGGTGATGCGCCCTCACTTCCAGTTTTCGTTGTGCCATGGCGTTTCTGAGTGAAGCGAGTATGATCTACTAGGTTTTGAGAAATAAAAGTAGTGTCTTTCTTCTCTAATCAGATGTTTCCTTTCGGACACAGTATTGCTAGGACGTCTTGAAAAGAACGACTTTTCTTAGATTCCATTCTCGTTTTCACAAGATTTTCTTTCGAACGCTGGTTCCGTAAGTTTCGTCACGCTAGTCCCTGCCTCTTGACAGCTACAAAAATGTCTGGTCTACCCGACGATGTCGCTGCTTCGAGCAGCAGCACTAAACCGGCGAAAGCTCCAGTTCCAGGAGAATTGAGCAGCACTGGTAACATCAGCATCGCCGACACCGAAGCAGATTCAGACTCCATGACCAAGCCGCTCGTCTCTCGCCGGGACGACGTCGAAGACGACGACGAAAACGGTGATAACGACGAAGAGACTGGCGGATTGACAGGAGCGAAGACAGGACGATCAGCCATGGCCAAATTCTCCGAGGAAACCGGCGAAAGCGGGGAAAGCGGTCGTTTTGGCGCCGGCGGTCATCTGAATCTGGACGCTTCCGCGTCTGTGTTCAACGCATCTGAGCGTCCCATTCGCGAGCCGGTCTGGGCCGGAGCTTTCATAATCTGCGCGGCGGTTTTCGTTCTGCGGGAGTTCTCCTGGTTCATCCGACCGTTGCTGTCCCTTAACTCCTTCGCGTCGCGTTTCTTCTCTCTCGAAGCGCTCTCCGCGCTTGCCATCGCCTTGGTGTCGATCTTCCCGACCATGTTCGTTTTCCTTGTCTGCGTTAGAAGGATGTCCGTTAAGCTCGTCAAGTGGTGCCTCAGAGTTACTGTAGCTTTCTTCGTTATTCACAGCCTCATGGCGCTTCACACGCCGCCTCCGCCGCCGCCGGGATCCCCGGCGGCTCCTGCGGCGCCTGACGCGCCCCCACAGTCCGCGATTTCCGGGGTTCCCTTATCCACATCCACGTCAGCAGCCGCGCATGGGGGTATCGGCGGCCAATCAGCGGCGAGCATTTTGGAGTCCGCGGCTCCGTTCTCCATGTCACGTTTCCTACGTGACACGTCAGCAGACGGGCCTCACATCCACGTCATCACTGCCACGGCTGCCAATCACCTCGCTGCTTATCTCAACAGGCGAAAGCTCCAGGAAGCTGCAGAACCAGTGCCAGCACAAAATCCGAACCAGCCCGTACCCCCACCTCCTGGACCTGACCCCAACGCAAACTACGTTCTCAGTCTTGAAATGTTCCTAACAGATTTACTTAACGGATTGGCCGTTCTCGCAGTGCTACTGGTCTGCAGGGACTACCACCCTCTTTCCTCCACTGTGATTGGTCGAGCCTCCCAGGCTGTGATGACCCGAGCCCGGGGCCTCATAGTGGGGGTGGCGATCTTTTCCTTCCTCTGCATCGTCCTGTTTGTACCCGTTATAGCCAGCCTCGTTGAGCTGGTTTTCTCCTGCAGGTTCTTAATGCAACAGGACCCGCTGTTCGGATCGCCTGATTCGCCGTTTCATGCCCAGGAGGAGAGATGTGTCTTATGGGGTGACACTATAGCGGTTCAGCACTGGCTGTCACCACTCGCTGTAATCTTCCTCTTTATAGGCATCTGGATGGCGTATCAAATCGGCGTGACTCTCCAGTTCATCGCCGCAGCTACAGTAGCGCAGGTCTACAGTAACGGCGACTCCAACGAATCACACAACACCACCAGCAGCAGCAGGGTGGGGAGCTTGCAAGACGAAGCCGGAGGGTGGTTTGATCGAGACGCCCTGGTGGATCGATGGAATGTAGTGGCTTGGGCAGTCAAGCTAGCTTACTCCTCGTCTATGGGTACCATCTGCCTAGTCAGCTTTATCCTGACGCTGGCAACGGTGGTGTCTGTGCTGCTGAACGTGCTTGTGATTTGGCTGTTCGGGATGTCGGCGATTGTCATGGTGCCACGTGTCGCGATCGCATTCGCTCTCTTCATCTTCACGTATTTCTTCACCTGGTGAGTCTAGCTGCGTGAAACTTCATTTCAGATTGTCCCTTGTGCCCTCATGCCCTCATAACCCTGATGCCCTCATTTGTCCCTTGTGCTTCTCTCCTCCTCTTCTGCCACTCTCTGTGCTTTCTCAAAGCTTGCTGCACATCTGCTGGTCTCCTTCCCGACTCCTTCCTCACGACTCGCTCCCCACTTTCCACGCGTCATCGTTCCACGTGTCATCATTCCACGTGTCATCATTCCACGCGTCATCATTCCACGCGTCATCATTCCACGCGTCATCATTCCACACGTCATCATTCCACGTGTCTGCCACTCCCCTGTTCCCCACCCCACCTCCCCCTCCTCCTCCTCCGCTCCTGCTCCTTCCTTCCATCATCGCACGTGCATCTGCCCTCACCCTCCGCAATTCCTCCTCCCCACCAGGTTTGTGGTGGTGGTAGCAGCGATATCAGGCCACGGCTCATGCCGCTTGCTCGCGCTCTCCACTTTGCTGCGCAACCACTTCAAGTGCCTTTCCTTATTCCCTCCGCATCTCACCCCTCCCCAATCCCCTTTTTCTTCCGCAGGTTCGTGGTGGTGGTGGCGGCCATTTCAGGCCACGGTTCGCGCCGCTCGCTCGCGCTCTCCACTTCTCTGCTGCGCAACCACTTCAAATCTGCCGTTGCTGTCAACCTCACCGCCAAGTGCATCCTCGCAGTCATCTCCACCGTCGTCACCCTTCTTCTCCTGCTTTTCCTGGTAAGAACTGCCTTTCCGCCTGCGGTCCCACCTGCCTGCCTGCCCAACTGACCTCGTCTAAACCACCTCAAGTCCGCCGTCGCTGTCAACCTCACCGCCAAGTGCATCCTCGGAGTCATCTCAACCGTCGTTACCCTTCTCCTTCTCCTCTTCCTGGTAAGAATTCGTCACTCACTATAAGCTGTTTTCACCCAAGATACTTACTAGCTGTCAACCTCACCACCAAGTGCATCCTCAGAGTCATCTCCACTGTCGTTACCCTTCTCCTTCTCCTCTTCCTGGTAAGAATTCGTCACTCACTATAAGCTGTTCCCACACGAGTTACTTGCTCTTGCTGTCAACCTCACCGCCAAGTGCATCCTCGGAGTCATCTCAACCGTCGTCACCCTTCTCCTCTTCCTGGTAAGAATTGTCTCTCACTATAAGCTGTTCCCACCCAAGTTACTTACTAGCTGTCAACCTCACCACCAAGTGCATCCTTGGTGTCATCTCAACCGTCGTCACCCTTCTTCTCCTCTTCCCAGTAAGAAGTGTCCGCCGGCGTGTCTGGATGTCCCTGTTTAAGCTACTCTCACCTCAAGTCCGCGCTAGCTGTCAACCTCACCACCAAGTGCATCCTGGGAGTCATTTCCACCATCGTCACCTTGATCCTTCTCCTCTTCCTTTGAAAGCCGTTCTTGTCTGCTTGACTTTTGAGTCGACTCAAAGTCAGCTCGTTCTTGTCTGCTTGCCTGCCTGCTTTCTTCCTGCCTTCCTGCCTGCCCGTCTGCCTGCCTGTATGCCTGCCTCCATGTCCCTGTTATAAGCTGTTCTCACCCGCACCGCGGCTTGTCAGCTTCGTTTCTACAATTCCCTCTGGTCTCTCCCCCTCACCCTCTCGATCCTCTCACCATCTCCCGCCACTCCACCTCTCCCGTATCAGTCCATCCTCGTGCTGCCTCTGTTGGGTCATCTCCTCAGGGCCGACACCATCCAAGCTCTCTTCATTGGCATCTCATTCGTTGTGCCCTGTGCTCCCTTACCCCTGCCCGTTCTGCTCTGCCCTGGCCATTTTTCCCCCTATTTCCCCTCTTCTCCCAGTCAATCCGCATGCTACCTCTCTTTGGCCATCTTCTCAAATCTGACACCATCCAAGCCCTCTTCGTCTTCCTCCCGATCGCTCTCGCCGTTGGCATCACAGTTTTCTCCTTCAAGCTCGTATTCGTGCCCGGCGTCGCCACCCGATCACATCCTCCCTGCTTTCTATTTGCTAATCTCCATTGCTCTCCCCCTTTCCCCCCTTTCATGTCTGCCCTTCCCTCTCTCCATTCCCGCCCATCTCTCCCTGCTCTTCTCCCTCTCACACTACAGTCTATTCTCATGCTCCCGCTGTTCGGCCATCTCCTCAAGACAGACACCATCCAAGCGCTCTTCGTCTTCCTCCCCATCGCTCTCGCCGTCGGCATCACAGTATTCTCCTTCAAGCTCGTGTTCGTGCCTGTCGTCGCCACCATGTTTGTGTGCTTCGTGTGGGACAACCGCATTGAGGTGGATTCTGCTGGAGGTGCCACAGGGGGTGCTGCTGCTCCGTTAGCCACCTCACACACTGAGGAGCTGGCAGCTACAGTGGTGCCCAGGTCACACGCATAATGATGTGTCTGACAAGTCTGACAGGCGTCGTTGCCACCACGCTTGTGTGCTTCGCGTGGGACAGCCGCATTGAAGTGGATTCTGCTGGGGGTGCCACTGGCGGTGCTGCTGCTCCCTTAGCCACCACACACACTGTCGTGGCCACAGTGGTGCCTAGATCAAATGGTTAGTTGGGGGCGTGAGTGAATGGTCTGGACAGTATTCGTGCCCGTCGTCGCCACCATGTTTGTGTGCTTCGCGTGGGACAACAGTGGTGATGGGGACCGCATTGAGGTGGACTCTGGTGGAGGGGGGGCTTGCTGCTGCTCCCTTAACGACCACGCACACCAAAGAGCTGGAGGCAACAGTGATGATGCCCTGCCCATAGCAACTGCTTAGACCTGTGCTTGCTTGACTCAGATGTTCACGTCCTGGTGCTTACAGAAACAATGCCCCAAGTATAGCCGAATATTTTGACTTCCTCTTCAGATGAAGCCATGTTTCCATGCCATCCCATGTGTATGCAAAACAACTCAATCCCTTCCCCTCTCCACTCCAGGCAATCTCTTCTGCTCGATCTGTTTGATGGGCATTAGCATGCGCACAGGCATGCGCATGGGTGTAGGCACTAGTCAGGAGGGGCAGAGAAGGGAATCCAAGTTCCAACCCAGCCCAACCCAGCCCCGCCCAGCTCAGCGCAACCCAGCCCCGCCCAGCTCAGCCCAACCCAACCCTACCCAACCCATCGCAGTTGGCCGCATCCTCTATATTCAAAACCAAGTTGGGCAACATTGGAAATATATGTTATTACACTGACGTCTTTCGCATTTACGGAGCACACTACTTGGCGGGTTGCTGAATGGTGGTGGAATCGGGCTTGGGCGTGTCTTTCAGTGACGCCTCCTTCAGAGCCGCTGACACTGCTGCCGCCGCTGCATCGTCGGACGCCGTCTTCCTGCTTCGAAGCACGTATTGCGGACGGAAAATGGGACGAAAGAAGGCAAACGGGAGGGAAAAAAGAGGGGAAATTGAATGGAATCAAAAGAGCATTTGAGACTGGCTGCAGCTGCTGCGGCTGATGCATCGTCGGACGCTGCCTTCCTGCTCCCACGCACGCATTGCGGACGAACGTGGGGGGGGGGAGAAAGAGGGGGAAACGAAGGGAGAAGGAGGGAGAAAGGAGGAATCAGAAGCAGGGAAAGGAGGAAACTGGAGGATGACCAGAACCTTCCATGTGGCACCTCAACATTCGTCGAACGCCGTCTTCCTGCTCCCACGCACGCATTGCGGACGAACGAGGGGGGAAGGCGGAGGCAAAAGGGAGGAATAAGGAGGGAAAATTAATGGAACAAGAAGAGCATAATGACACCAAAACAATCGTCGGACGTTGCCTCTATGTTCAACCCGCAGGGTGCGGAAACTATGAGGTAAAGAACGAGGTTAACGGGTACGTTTAAGAAGCAAAGGAGAGCTTACTTCTTGTCGACGACTGCGCCCTTGGTGCTCAGAAACGACCGGAAGAGCGCCGAGTTGACGTCGTAAATCATCTTGCGTGGCTAACTGACGGGTGACAGCTAACGGCTGACGGCAGTTGACTAACGACTGACGGCGACTACTAACGGCTGCCGACTAACTATGTGTGAGTTAGACAAAGGCGTAACAGGCGTACAGCACCGCGAATCACGCGAGATTCGGGAAGAAACTGGAAGCTTGTGAGCGCCAGCAAGATGGTGAGGAAGAGATGAGGCGGAAAATATCTAATATCTTCAAGAATCCCGCTTTGTGTGACCTAATGACGGCCAGATTCAGGTTATCTAGTGCGGTGCAATCTGGTACTACCTATCAAGCCGGCGTTATAGAGCTCTAGGGAGTGGTGCCGAATTGAGTGAGAATGATGACAGGCTGCCTAAAACCCTCGTGCCGGTGGGAGACATCGGGTGATACGAATTTACGAAAAGCGACACGTTATGTCTTTTTCCGTGCGATGAAGTTGAATTTATCTTGGCAAAAGAAAAGCAGCCACTATCGGTATACCTCTGTAACGAGCTACTTAAAAACGCAGATTTCCTTCCCATCCCTTCCAGTCACATTTGCCTTGAGACTGACGACCCACTGGAGAATTAACATAAGGCGGAATACACTCGATACCTTTCTGAACCGGTTCATAACGTAAAGCATCACAATCAACCAAAGTTTGCTTCACTTGATGCCACCCTCATTTGTCATGCCTGTGGCTTTCTGGAGCTCCAGAAGCCTCCGAAGGATGATGACGTCGTCAGTTCGCGAACGTTAGTACCCTCTCCATCAGTTCGCTGTTACCGTCAGTTTGAGCGAGTTCCCTCGCTTTCACTTTCAGTTGTTGATCTCTCTGGAAGGAAAATTCGTCGTTTTCTCTCGGGTGATCAATGGCGAGATTGCTAGCTAACATGGTCCATGGCTCGCACTTGACGGAGTGGGCCTGGCGACTAAGTCCTGCGAAATTCAGTATTAGAGGTATTGATTATAGAAGATTTAGCTATAGACCACGGGGGATTGGTTCTGGGAGGGTGTTCTTGTCGCCTAACGAGAGCATGCTTCAATCGCGGATCCATTCGACTTATGGAATCAAGAACAGTAGTATCAGTCGCAGTGGTAGTGGTAGCAACACTAGCCGATCGTATCACTCATTTTCCGGCAGTGCGAGTAGCACGACTAGCCATGTCGCCTCTGGCATTCGAACCGCGTGTGGGAGTGGTAAAGAGGATATTAATCTAGCATCCAGATTGAACTTGAAAGAGCCGTTCAATCGAAAACATCACGCAGCGTCTGTCCGTAGTCGCCATTCGTCAGCAGGTACCCAGTTCTCTCGCAGTCTAGCAACGTCCATAATCCCTGACGCTCCGCCAATCACGGACGGACAGCTAGAGCAGCTGCACGATTTCGTGGCTGGCAGCCGGCGGCTGCTGGTGCTGACTGGCGCTGGGGTGAGCACGGAGAGTGGCATTCCGGATTACAGAAGGTCAGTCTATAACGGGGATAAACAGAGATATATTCAAAGCGGTAGCTGCTGGTGCTGACTGGCGCTGGAGTGAGCACGCAGAGTGGCATTTCGGATTATAGAAGGGAATGTTTTTCAATGGACCGGTGGTGGTGCTAACAGTCGCTGTGATCAGCACGCCAGAGAGTTCCTGAAACTTTCTTGACGGGATTTTTGTTTTTTTTTTTGGTTTCTGATTCACTAATTCGATTTTTTTCTGGTTGCATGGTTTTGCACGACTGCATGGATCTTGCGTTTTGATAAACGTGCAGCCCAGGCGGAGCATACAGTAAGGGGTACAAGCCAATGATCCATCAGGCAGGTACTTGAGAGGGAGAGTCACTTTTTAAAGTTTTCATGCATTTGAAGATATGGCTGGTAAGGAAGCATTCAGTAAAGGGTACACTGCAAGATCCACCCAACAATTCAGTTCCCTTTTTAATCCTCTTACTCCAATCGCAGGTTTTGGGGAATGGTGTCAGGAGAGTGTTTTGAGGCGCCTCAGTGCCCTTCTTATTGCTGCTATTCTCCTTCTTCACGCCAGGACTTTGTTCGTTCTCTGTCTGCCCGGAGACGCTACTGGGCTCGCAGCTTCATTGGCTGGCGGAGATTTTCAGCTGCCCGACCAGGAACCGCACACAGAGCATTGGCGCGGCTGCATGCAAGGGGGAGGCTGGAGGGCGGCATTATCACTCAGAACGTTGACAGGTGTGTTTCACACGCTGCAACTTGCAAGGCATGTAGCAAGGGGGCTAGACTGTCTTGCTTGAGAGGCACGGCGAACAGGGCAATAACGCGGCTGCATGCGAGGGGGAGACAGGAGGACGGCATTATCACTCAGAACGCTGGCAGGTGCGTTTCAGATGCTGTAAGGCGTGTGGCGAAGAGACTTAGCCAAGTGTGTTTGGGAGGCGTGGTGGAGGCGTGGTGGAGGCGTGATTGGGGAGGTCACTGAGGGCATTGGTGCGCAGGGCACTGGCACGGCTGCACGAGAGGGGGAGACGGGAGGGTGGCATTATCACGCAGAACGCTGGCAGGTGCGTTTCAGACGCTGTTGTGTCGCACATGCTTCCAGGTGACTCACCTATGTCCCCCCCTCGACTGCACCGCATTGCGGGAAGCCAGTCCTTGAACTCCACAGCACTCCAGCGAACCACCCTTTGTGATCCCCCTCCCCCTCCCCCCTCCCTCTCCCCCTCCCCCTCCACCTCCCCCTCCCCCTCCCCCTCCCCCTCCCCCTCCCCCTCCCCCTCCCCCTCCCCCTCCTCCCCTGCCATTCCACACGCCCATTGTTTTTCCACCCAGACTACACCACATCGCGGGAAGCCCAGCCCTTGAACTCCACGGCACTACCCATGAGGTAAAAAAAGGAAATAGGTTTTCAAGGGCGTGAGTTGAGCTGGGTAGCGAGAGTAAGGCTTCCTTGCTCCATCCACCATGCAAAACAGAACACTTCGTCCATGTTCAACATCTTCCAACATCTTCCAACGTGCCTGTGCCCTTCGTCCGTGTTGCTCCATAAGAAAGAGATGCCCTCTTTTTTGTGTTTAATATTGTAAGCGGTCTTGTGCTACTAGTGGTTAAACACTCGTGTGACGTCTAAGTGATGTCATGACTTTTTTCGGTCCCTGTCATGTGTTGTTCTCATTGCATCGCCAGGTGGTCTGCATGGAATGTGGCGACATCTCATGTCGAAGAATCTTCCAGGAAAGGATCAAAGGAGCCAACCCAGAGGTCTGTTCTTCTCCTTTTTCTGAGCCTGGCCCTCTAGTACCTTTGCACCCCAGAAAAAAAAAAAAGATATATATATATATATGTATATACATTTATATATTCTGAAGAAAAGAAGAAGGAAAAAACTACAAATTGTTGTGGGGTGGAATAGCTTCATTCTTGCCAAGGAAATATTCATGAAAGCTGCATTTGTTTGCGTACGCTTTTTTCTCCCCACCCAACCGGCATCCTTGAATGCTCTGCTGCTTCTTTCCGGCCCAACCACAGAGGTGACTTTTGAGTCGACTCGAGAGTCACCTTGCTGCTTCTTTCCCGGCCAACCACTGGACCACACCACAGCATTCCAGCACTCAAATTAGACTTCTCAAACCAGCACCCTCTTTCCTCCATCTCCTCCCGCCTTTCCCCTGCTTCAAACTCGTGCCAGTGTGCAGTAGCATTGGAGCATTTGGCGGAGGGCAGGCTGGCAGGGTCGGATGATTCAGATGGGGGCAGCCAGATGGGGGATATTGAGATCAGCGTAGAGGAGTGGGAGAGGCACGTGATGTTTCTCCGCCCCACCCTCTTCCCCCCTTCTCCTCCCCTCTCCCCCCTGCTTCCTCTTCATGCAGTGGGCAGCAGCGGTGGAGCACTTGGAGGAGGGCAAACCAGCAGGGTCAGACGAGTCATTCGGCATGAGGAGGCGGCAGCAGAGGATTGTAGAGTCTGGGAGTGCTGATTCTGGAATGTCTGAACGAGAGTTGATGGGCATGAGGAGGCGGCCCGATGGGGATATAGAGATCAGCGAGGAGGAGTGGGAGAGACATGGCGAGTTTGTTGTGCCGAGCTGTGGTGCATGTGGCGGCGTGCTGAAGCCCAATGTGAGTAGGCCGTTTACTGTGTCTTGATATATCCATGCTACAGATTATATTTTTTATTTCCCATGCTATTCGAGCTCTTTTTCTTGTGGTAATTTTCATGACCTCGGGCAGGTTGTACTTTTTGGCGACAACCTTCCACCTGCCCGCAATCAAGAAGCTGCCCGGATGATGTCATCTGCCGAGTCGCTATTGGTCGTTGGCTCCTCGCTGATGGTGCTCTCAGCTTTTAGGATCGCAAGGTGGGAAATAGATAGGAAAGAAAATAACGGGATAATCAATGTTCGCCCCCCACGCCACCTCCCCCATCTCCCTCTTTCCTTTCTTCTTCAATTTGAGAAATTTCCCACACGACAATTCCTTTTACGTGTATCCACTACGGCGTCTCCCTACTCACCCTCTTCCCTTTGCCTATGTCCAGTCAATGCATGCATGAAGGCACGTCGCTAGCACCGCTAGCTGTGGGGCCAAGCCGTGCTGATAAAATTCCGTGCTGCCCCTGCCACTACCCATTCCGCCACCCGCTTCATTCCCCCACCCTCCTCTCCCCTTCCAGCCAATGTGTGCATGAAGGCAAGCCGTTAGCACTGCTAGCTGTGGGCCCAAACCGTGCTGATGGCATTGCTCAGATCAAGATAGAGGCGCGATGTGGGGAGGTGAGATGCGGGGAGGTGAGATGCGGGGAGGTGTGATGCGGGGACGTGGGATGCGGGGAGGTGGGATGTGGGGGGAGGTGGGATGTGGGGAGGTGGGATGCGGGGAGGTGGGATGTGGGGAGGTGAGATGTGGGGAGGTGGGATGTGGGGAGGTGGGATGCGGGGAGGTGGGATGCGGAGAGGTGGGGTGCAGGGAGGTGAGATGAGAAAAAGTGCAGGAGCTTTCCTGTCTCGTAGCAGTGGGGTCACATGATTGTTCCTGCTTGTGTCGGGATAGAAATTCTCCCATCAAAAGGATGTCATGATTTGTTGCTTCCTTTGCTGCCCTGCCCTTGCGATTGCTTGCAGGTGCTATCACGGCTCGTAGCTTCAGGGTCACTTGACGTCCCTGCTGCGATTTAGTGGTCTGATTCGATATGATGATCTGATGTGTTTCGACATAGTATGACAATTCCTATCGGTATTGGTTCAAGATGTTGATTCATTACTGGAATTTGTGAGCTCTTGTTGTCCTTTGTTGTACACTTAAGTGGGAGACTATGGTAAGAGCATCTTCATGCAAGCCACATCATTTTTGAGTTGTCTCAAAAGCCACACCATGAAATTCCAATGATTCCACTTGAGAGTCACAGTTTTGGATTTAACCTAGCTCGCATCAAGTGGTGTCCCCCGTCCACGGCAATGCACTGCCCTGTGATGTAGGCAGATGCGTCAGAAGCGAGGAGCAGGAGCAGCGATGTGAGGTCAGGATGAATGGAACCCCACCTGGGAGAGAAGTGGAAAGGAGGGAAAGGCAGGAAACAGTTGGAGATTATCTAAAAATAATGTCAGAACGAGCAGCAGCGATATGAGGTCAAACGTATTACGTGTACCACCCTATATACACCACCCTAAACCCGAAACCCCTGATCTCGTACTTTCCTTTACACCCATACCCCTCTCGACAACCTCTGAACCCCTTCAAACCTATCCAAACCTCGTCGTACCTCTGGGTTGGCACCACCACCTGTGCGTTCCTTTCCATCCATGGCTTGCCCTTCTCCCTCAATCCTCAGTATACCCTTTGAACCCATCCAAACCTTGTCATACCTCTGCATTGGCACCACCACCTGTGCGTTCCTCTCCATCCATGGCTTGTCCAAGAGCTTCTGAACACATGCACAACCGCATGAGAGAGAGGAGGGAGGAGAAGAGCAGAGTGAGCATCTGAGCACAAGAGTGTAAGAGGCAGAGAGAGAGAGAGGGAAGGAGGGAGGAGAGCCGAGAGAAAAGGTGTGTATTCCTATCCAATCAAGGCATTCCCAAGAGAGTCTGAAACCATGCACGCACAGCAGCTCCTGGCGTTCCAATGCCACCAATCCCCCCTCCACCCCTCCCCCTTCATGCCTCGGTGATTTCGGAACGGAATATCCCCGGGGCGATGCAGTTGCAGCGAATGCCATGCTCCCCCAACCCAACTCCACTCCCCTGTTCTTCCTTCCTCCCCTTCTTACCCCCCCCACCCACCCCCCAACCCACCACCACCCCTTCCCCCGGCCATTCTTGCCTCGGTGATCTCGGAACGGAATATCCCCGGGGCGATGCAGTTGCAGCGGATGCCATGCTCCCCCAACTCCACCGCCATAGCCTGGTGTGAAGGGAAGGAGAGGAATCGCAAGAACACAAGGTCTTCCACTCCTTGAAATTGTTCTTTGCAAGGAGTGAAAGCAGGAAGAAAGAATGGAAACTACGGCCTTACAGATGCCTCAAGCCACGAATGCCATGTTCCCACCCTACTCCACTGCCACTCTCCTCGCTCCTCTCTATCCCTCCCACCCATAACCCATCCCCTCTCCCCCTCAGACAACGCGCGCACGCACCACAGTGAGGCGCATGAGAGCAGCCTTGGAGGACGAGTTGGCAGCACCGTTGGGGAGAATGGTACCATAAATACTCGTCACCCTGCCTCCCAGCTCCATTTCCCCCAGCCTTTCCTCCATTCAGCGAGTTAACCATTCCCTCCCAATGTACGCACCACGGTGAGGCGCATGAGAGCAGATTTCGAGGAGGAGTAGGCAGCACCGCCGGGGAGAATGGCACCAGGAATGCCGGCTGTAGATGCGATGTTGATTACACTCAAAACCGTGCGGGTGCTTCCGTTACTACCCCCTTCAAGTGCCCTTTCATTCTTACCCTCCGTTCCTTTGCCCCCCTTCCCCATCTCCCTCCCCTCCCGTCGCGCCCCCTCGCTGGTCCTTCCCCCCGCTCGCGCCCCCCCGCCTGTCCGCCCCAGCACGCGCCGAACCACAGCTTTGGAAACAAGCCAAGCGCCTCGGACGTTGGTGTGGAATGACGTGTCGAACTCTGATTGGCTGATGTCGATCGCGTCCACCTTTTTCCCTGCAATCTTGGAAACACGTGGCGTTCACGTCAGCACAGGGTAGTGGAATCACGCCTTGGTGGTAACGTCAACGCGAGTCAACGGGAGTCAACGCGCCTCACCTCGGAACCCCGCGTTGTTCACCAGCACGTCGATCCGCCCGAACGCGTCCCACGCCGCCTGCACCGCCGCATCTACCGCCACCTCGTCCGCCGCGACGTCCATCGCGACAGCCCTCATGCGCCCCGGCATCTCGTTTCCAACAATGAAATGCGATCCTGGCCGTCCAGAATCTCTGACTGATGATTCCCGAGTCACGTCACCATTTCCCACGGCCCGCCGTTCCCGCCCTCCAGCGTCAACCGGGTTTGATAAGTCAGAGCTTCTCCCGTTGCGTGGATCATCCCCCTCTCCGCACATGCCCTCCGCCTCTCCGCGCATCCCTTCCCCCTCTCGGCGCAATTCTTCCGCTTCTCGGCGCATTGCTTCCGCCTCCGCGCACAGCTGATCCAGGCGGTCCACGCGCCGAGCTGCGGCGACCACGTGGCATCCACGTGCCACGAGGAACAGCGCGAGATCGTGGCCGATTCCCGACGAGGCGCCCGTTACAAGAGCTACCTTGCCACGGACTGATAGTTGATCGAGCCCCCATCGGCGCGCACCGCTCGCTGCCATAGCTTCGCGTCGCGTATATAGCACCAGCAGCGGCGACTTTTCTGGGTTTCGTTGCTCAGCTACTAACAAACAGCTAAACTAATTTGCTGACACAACCCAAGAGCAAGTCAGCAAGTCAGGTTCATAACTGATTTGCTTACATTTGGTGACATGTGATGAAGCTTGTCGGATTTATGATTCTCACCTTTGTGGCGAGCAAGTCGCGAAATCCCTACATGTTTCGCTGTTTGCGCACGTCGCATAGATGTCGCTGAAGGCTGCGTTTCAGTGGCGATCGCATCGCCAGGCTCCTGAATATTTTCGCAGAAACGCGAAGCATGCTTTCGTCAGCATCTGTTGCACGACGAACGAAGTTTCGTCGATAGCCGAAACCTCGCCAGGCCAGCTGTCACTCGATTCGCAGCTGCCTCTGGTGGGTGCTGTGCTGGACTCGAACGGCGCCACGTCGTTTGTGGTCCAATTCACTGTAACGAAGACAAAAGTCTTCAATGGCAATCATATACAGTTTAATCTTGCGGTATAACAGGCATATAATCCGATTTTTGAAGCATCCCTAGAACATACACGTAGAAACTAATCCCCATGGTAATGCCGCCCAGTGACCATCGAATCTTCTAAAGGGGGTACCTGTCTCGCACAAACTGGTTACTTCTCTCTGCCGAAACGACGCTCGATCGCAATACCCTTCGCAACCAATCCCAACCTGCACCACTGTCACCAGCAAGTGCCTCTCTCTACGCACCACCACACCTTCCGACAGTTCGATGAAATCCTTCGAGCTAACCACCATCCTTTGCAGCTGGCTTTGTGTTGCCTCCGTTGCGGCTCCTCATAACTCGTCCGAGAGTTTCTCTTGTTCCGAGTACAGTGCGAGCCAACCGAGGCACTCCTAGGCCAGTGGAGAAACACTAACCACGATCTGTTCAACATTCAGCGACTTGGTACCACACAGTCGGGTAACAACGAAGTTGCGAATAGCGGGAACGAGCTCGCGACCGTAGTCTTCAAGTCGAAGTCGTCAAGAAGGTCCTCGACATTGTCGTCGTCGTCGTCGAAGTCGCCGGGAGTGACCTTTTCATTGTCGTTCGCGGTCGCTCGCGGTCGTTCGCGGTTGTTCGTGGTCGTTCGTGATTTTTCGCGGTCGTCGCGGTGGTCACGATGAGGGAGGACGAGAAGCACGAGAAGATCATTCGCGCACTGATGAAGCTCCCGGAAAACCGGAAGTGCTTCAATTGCAACAGTCTGGTACCTGCTTCATGCCCTGCTGCACCATACCATACAGTACCGGACGGTGCCTTGCCGTCCTTCACATTCCGTGGCTTCTGTTGACTTCGAACATTGTAGCAACATGCGAGATGCAAGGCCGAAAATGCCAATGTCGTGTCAATGTCATGTTGATGGGTTTCGATTGTCGTGCCAGTGCCTTCTCATTGTCACAGCAACGACTAGCGAAACGTATGACAATGTAGTGTCGCGTCAATGTCGTGTCAGTGTCATGTTGCCTACACTAACTGTCATATCAATGTGATGCCATCGCCATGTCAGTGTTTTGTAGAATTCATGTCAACATGATACCATTGCCATGTCCGTCTTATGTAAATGTCCTGTAAATGTCAGATCATGTCAAAAACCTACTCGCATTCGTTAACACCAACTGTCTTCCAATTTTGAGTCTCCTCCTGTTTCTCGCCAACGCTGCACAGTGCACACCACCACCCCAGGGGACTCAGTACGTACGTGTGCACCAACTCTGTCATCCTCGTCTGCCTTTCATGAGAAGACGTATCCAAGGACGCATGCGTCATCCCATCCCACGCACGCCTTTCATTCTTGAGGCGCCTAAGAAATCATGGAAATACGTATCCAAGGACGCATGCGTCATCTCATCCCATCCCATCGCACGACTTTCATCATTCTCTGTCTCCCCTCTTCGCCTACACACACTGCACACTCCCTCAGGGCCCTCAGTACGTGTGCACCAACTATGCCATCTTCGTCTGCCCTTCATGCAGCGGTGTCCAGTTGAGTGTCCTGTCCTCTCTGCTCCACCTTAATTGCCTGTTCTGCTCTATTGTAATAGCTTTCCTCGTGTCCCCTCATTCTCCTCTCAGTACGTGTGTGTGCACCAACTATGCCATCTTCATCTGCCCTTCATGCAGCGGGGTCCAGTCAAGTGCCCTCTCTCTCTGCTCCACCTTAATTGCCTGCTCTGCTCTATTGTAATAGCTTTCCTTGTGTCCCCTCAACGCCACGGTAGTTCATTCTTCTCTCAGTACGTGTGTGTGGACCAACTATGCCATCTTCATCTGCCCTTCATGCAGCAGGGTCCAGTCAAGTGCCCTCTCTCTCTGCTCCACCTTGGCTGTCCGCGCTTTGTGCCGTCAATTCAATGTTTCTCATCTTCCCTTAAGAGCATGGGGATCCATTCTTCTCCCTCTATCAGGTGTTTTTTTTTTTTTTTTTAGTAAACGCCTTTCGTACAATGCTTCTTCTGTGCTATGTTTTTTTTTTGCATGGTGCTGTTTGCAGTCGGGAGTTCAATCATCGTGTCAAGTCTGTATCAATGGCCAAGTTCACGCCTGAAGAGGTGGCGGCACTACAGCAGGGAGCGAACCAGGTGAGAGGCGGGCAGTGAAGGGGTAAGAACCATCGTGTCAAGTCGGTGTCAATGGCCAAGTTTACACCAGACGAGGTGGCAGCGCTGCAGCAGGGAGCCAACCAGGTGAGAGCTGGTAACCTGGTGACCAGTCGAGGGGTAAGCAGCTTCGTGAAGTTGCCTCCACTCCAGGCACTCTACCCTATCCTTCTCTCTTTGCTCTCAGACAAGTTGTTGTGTTTGTAGAAGCTGCAAAGCATTGCAGTGTACTCTCTCCTGTGCTTCTTCCATCTTTGCACCCGCGCGTCCTCGTACTCCCTCCCCTTCTCCCCCTTCTTCTTCTCCCCCCCTTTTCCTTTCTTGCAGCGGGCACGAGAGTACTTTCTCCCAGGGGGCGGCCGAGCCCCTCCCAACAGCAAGTGAGTCACTGAGTAGTGCATGCCTGCCTGCCTGCCTGCCTGCCTGCCCTATAATTATACTGTGCCGCTCGGCTTGAGGGTCAGCTGAGCCCCTGCAATGGCAAGTGAGTCACTAAGTTGTTGTGCTGCTGCTGCTTCTGGCTGCCCTATTTATTCATTGTGCTGCTCGGCTTGAGGATCAGCCGTGGCTTGGCCCATTCAACCGCAAGAAAGTTTCTTCGAGTGGTCTTTCTGGGAATGGAATGTGATGGGCACAGTTTATGAAAACGCTCTGTCATTCCTTACCTCCTCCCCTACCCTCCTCCCCTACCCTCCTTCCCTGCCCCCTCCCCGTCGCTCCTCCTCTTGCCAACGCCCCTCCAGTGACCCCCAGCCTGTGAGGGAGTTCATTCGAGCTGTCTTTATGGAAATGAAAGGCGATGTGACGCGCACCCTTCTCCCTTTCCACATCCGCTTACTTCCCCCTCTCCTCTTGCCAACGCCCCTCCAGTGACCCCCAGCCCGTGAGGGAGTTCATTCGAGCTGTCTTGAGGGAGTCCAGTGACCCCCAGCCAACGCCCCTCCTGTACTTGGGATGCACAACCACAGGTGGACGAAAAGCCCTGCTTTTGAGTCGATTTTTTAGTCGACGCAAAAATCGACTCATCACACGTGGAGAGGCGATACATGGGATGCAGGCAGGCAGGACCACAGGTGGACGAAAAGCCCTCATGGCTCCTCCTCCTCGCTGTGTGTTCTTTCCCTTCTGCCCTTTTTCTTCCACCCATCAGCGACCCCCAGTCTGTGAGGGAGTTCATTCGAGCTGTCTTCTTGGAGAGGCGATATGTCGGGCGGAACTCACGAGAGGTATGTGGTGATGATACTGGCAATGGTGAACATGACCCACGACGAGAGGTATGTGATGTGGTGATGTTGCTCGTGGTGATGGTGATGGGTATAGTGGTGATGGTGATGGGTATAGTGGTGATGGTGATGGGTATAGTGGTGATGGTGATGGGTATAGTGGTGATGGTGATGGGTATAGTGGTGATGGTGATGGGTATTGGTGATGGTGATGGTGATGGGTATAGTGGTGATGGTGATGGGTATAGTGGTGATGGTGAACACGAGCAGCGATATGACATGGCTAAGCGTCTGTTTTTTGAGGCGCTTTTAACATGAGAGGTATGTGATGCTAACGATAATGGTGAACATGAGCAGTGGCATGACATATGACTCTTTGCAATCCTTTCCTCCTTTATGCACAAATCGCCTCTTTCCTTCTCTCACTTGCGCCCTTCTCCCCCCCCCCCCCCCCCCTCTTCCCCCCCCTTCACTCAGAGCTCTCCCTCGGGTCGAACTCATTCTATGGATGGCTCTCCCTCCGCCTGCTTCCCCCAGCCATCCGACCTCCAACGCAGCAGCAGCGCCCGCACCTCTCTCTCCCTTTGCCTGCACATCTTGTCTTCTCCCTTCTCTCACCCTCACCGTTTTACACCCCTCCCTCCCCCATTTGTTTCCTTTCAGAGCTCTCCCTCGGGTCGAACCCACTCCATGGATGGCTCTCCCTCTGCCTCCTTCCCCCAGCCCTCCGACCTCCAACGCAGCAGCAGCGCCCGGGCCTCTCTCTCCTTCTCCCCCACTCTCCCTCCTTCCCACAACCACAAGCAGCCGCAGCAGCAGCCACAGCAGCAGCAGCAGCAGCAGCAGCAGCAGAAGGCTCTACCACCACGCAAATCCCCTTCTCTTTCTGCCAACAGCAACACCAGCGCCAGCACCAGCACTGGTGCGAGATTCCCTGGCAGCAGCAGCACGAGTAGCACTAGATTCTCCAACGCCCCAAGCAGCAGTGGTGATGGGGTGGATGCACCTATTCGCCCTGTGGCTGATCTACTAGGGGATGAGATTGAGCTGAGGGTGTATCACAGCGAGCCAGGGCGGGGGAACACACATGTGTATCAAGCTGCCTCCTCTCCTTCAGCCCTACCTGGTTCTCCCACTTCTGCCCCCTCTGCCCCCTCTGCTCCCTCTGCTCCTTCTGCGGTTGCCTCTCTTCCTGCCTCTCCACCTGCTGCTGCCCATGCTCCTGCCTCTCAAATCCCTTCATCAGCACCAGCCGGCCCTGTGCCGGCACCTGCAGCAGCTGCATCAGCAACTGCAGCAGGAGCAGCAGCAGCATCAACGGCAGCACCAGCATCAGCACCACTGGCTCCTCTAGGTTACCTGATTGACTTCTCAGATGAAGGGGATGGAGATAGCCTCACTCTGCCTCCTGCTGCCCCCGTGCCTGCACCCAAGCAGTGGCAGCTTCAGGAGCAGACGGAGGGTGCAGCAGGGGGAGCGGAGCAGCATCAGCCCACGGTGCTGCAGGGGCAAACGCAAGTGCCAGCGCAAGCAGACACAGCAGCAGCAGCAGCCGCAGCAGCAGCAGCCACAGAAGGAGCAGTGGCGGCGGCGGCAGCAGGAACAGCAGCAGCAGCAGCAGCAGTGGAAAAAGAGAGCAGCAGCAGCAGCAGTGGCGACAGCAGCAGCATTGCCAATGGTTTTTCCTCCTGGGCGCATTTTGATAGCAGCCCCATGCCACCTGTACCTGCACCAGCTGTACCTGCACCAGCTGCAACTGCACCTGCTATGCCAGCTATGCCAGCTATGCAATTGATCTCTGGAAACGCCCCTTCTCTTGGCACAGAATATGGATCCATGGGCTATGGGCAAGCTCAGTTATCAGCAGCACCACTAGAGTACGAGGCCTATGGGATGCAGGCACAGGGGCAGGGGCAGTTTCAGCCAGTAACCCAGGCCGGGCAGGGGCAGTTTCAGCCAGTAACCCAGGCCGGGCAGGGGCAGTTTCAAGTAACCCAGGCACAGGGACAAGGGCAGGGGCAGACTGAATTATTCATTCAGACGCAAAGACAGGGACAGTTTCACTTATCGACTCAGGCTCAGGGACAGGAACAGGGATATGGGCAAGGGCAGTGGCAGGGACAGGGCTATGGGCAAGGGCAGGGGCAGGGGCAGGGCTATGGATTACAAGCTAATGGGGGTTATGCACAGGCGTTCTCTCCAGTACAGTCCCCTCCGATACAGTCACATCCCTTCCCTCCCTCACAATCACACTCGTTCCAATCCCCTCCCACACAGTCCCACCCATACCAGTCCCCGCCCTTACAATCACACCCATACCCTCAGGGCGGGGTTATGGGGAGCCCTGGGGGAGTGATGGGGAGTGCAGGAGGAGTGATGGGAAGTCCAGTAGGGGGTATGGGGATGGCAAGCGGGTTGATGGGGGGAGGGGTTATGGGGAGCCCTGGGGGAGTGATGGGGAGTGCAGGAGGAGTGACGGGAAGTCCAGTAGGGGGTATGGGGAGCGCTGGGGGAGGTATGGGGAGTCCAGGAGGGGTTATGGGAAGTGCAGCTGGGTTGATGGGGGGAGGGGTTATGGGGAGCCCAGGGGGGGTAATGGGGAGCCCAGGGGGGATTATGGGGAGTCCAGGGGGGGTTATGGGAAGTCCTAGAGGGGTGATGGGGAGCTCAGGCGGGGTTATGGGGGGCACAGGGGGAATGATGGGAAGTCCAGGAGGAACAATGGGCAGCCCAGGAGGGGTGATGGGGGGCGCAGGGGTGGTTATGGGAAGCCCAGGGGGAGCGATGGGGAGCCCAGGTGGGGTTCTGGGAAGCGCAGGGGGCCCAATGGGGAGCCCAGGGGGAGCCATGGGGAGCCCAGGGGGAGCCATGGGGAGCCCAGGGGGAGGAGCAATGGGTAGCGGAAGAGCTGCAATGTGGAGCCCTGCAGGCGTCATGGGAAGCCCTGGGATGAGGTCATCACCGTTGGGGTCTCCCGGATTGGTATGTTCCCACACACAGTGCTATTTAATTTATTCATTTACATTTCGTTCACAGTATTTTTTCTTTAGTGCCTGCCTTCTTATTTCTCTTTCTTTTCTTCCTTCTTTCTTTCCTCCTTTCTTTTTCATAACAATGTTTTGCTAGTACGGCCGGCCAGTTCCCTGCCCAGCCTTTTTCATTCTTTTTTTTTTTTCTCCAGAATTCCAAAGACCACCCTGCAGAATGAATGAAGGGCTGTTAGTTCCCTCCTAGTCCTTCCATTCCCACTACTAGTTCTCATTAGGTCTCTCTCCTTCCTCACACTGCCCCCTGTTTCCCAGTCCCCATCCCCGCAGACACCTTTCCTCAACATGGAATCGCTGTGAGCTGCTCTCGCTGCCACACAACCACCCACAGGACCTAACACAAAACCACAGGAAGCTCCCCCTCTGTCCCTTCTCACGCCATCTCTTCCCCCATCCCACCCTTTCCTCACCTCTCCCAGTCCCCATCCCCACAGGCACCTTTCCCCAACATGGCATCCCTGGGAGCTGCCCTCACCGCAACACAACCACACGCACAACCACACGCAGTAGCAGCATCACCAGCAGCACCACTCCCATCAGCAGGAGGTTATGCTTTCGAGGGATATTCTCAAGCGCCGATGCAGCAAGGATCAGGGCAACAAGGTTACACCCAGTTAGGAACGATGCAGCAAGGGTTAGGGCAACAGGGCTATACCCCATTAGGGCCGATGCAGCACATGCAGCAAAAATCGTTCCCACAGCAGCAACAGCTTAACTACCAGCAGCAGCCAGTTAACTACCAGCACAACACATTTCAACAGCAACAGGTAAGCTACCAACAGCAACAGATGTCAACGTTTCACCACCAGCCATGGCAGCAGCAGCAACAGCAGCAGCAGCAACAGCAGCAGCAACAATGGCAGCAGCGGCAGCAGCAGTAGCAACAGCAGCGCCAGTCATCGGCAGTGACAACAGCAAGTACCATTATCATCATAAGTCAGTCAGTACCTTACTTGGCTTCTTTTCTTATGTACACTCATATTTTATGCTAGGTTATTGCCCAGAAAAGCATATAAACCTGGCATGCCCGGTGCAGTGGGTTCTTGCAAACACAGGTACCGTAACACATTGTTGTTAAGATTACACATTTTTGTTAAGATGACACAATTGTTGCGGAGCATGAACAAGATGAATGTTCAAGATCCATTCCATATGCCGAAGCAACTGTTCGAATCAAATAAAATAAATTAAATGGAAACAAATGAACATATAATACAATTGTGCATCGCCCTGATGTCAATGTTGCTGCGGCTGCTGTTTCAAACCTGCCGATGTTTTTTTTTTTGTTTTTGTTTTTTTTCAAGAGAGAATACCATACAGGTACCATTTCCGCCGGTCCTGTTACAATGAACAAACAGTGCTGCTGCTGGGTTGCTGTAGGTGTTGGGGTTAGGAGGACTGATGGTTATCGTTGCATTTCCTGCTACTCCTGCTGCTGCTGTTCCTGCTTTTCCCAATAGTGCACCTGCCCTTGCTCTGCTACCACCTTTGAGGCGCCTCACAAAACACCCGTCCCTGCTCCAGTTGCTCCCCCCACCACACCTCCCCTGGTCCCTGCCTCCAATACCTGCCCTTCCCCTGTCACACCCCCACAGCCCACTAGCCCTCTGCTTGTGCTGCTACCGCCTTTGAGGCGCCTCACAAAACACCCGTCCCTGCTCCAGTTGCTCCCCCCACCACACCCTCTTTGGTCCCTGCCCCCAACGCCTGGCCCCTTGTTACACCCCCACTAGTTCCGCTTGTGCTACTACGGCCGGCTTTCACCCTTTGACTGGCAAGGATTGGAGCCTCACGAAGCACCCGTCCCTGCTCCAGTTGCTCCTCCCACCACACCCTCTTTGGTCCCTGCCCCCAACGACTGTCCACCAGACACACCCCCTATAGCCCTGCTTGCGCCGCTACGACCAGCTTTCAGCTTTTGACTGGCAAGCATAGGAGGCAAAAAAAAAACCAGAGTTAAGGGGAGGCAGTGGGAGAGAAGGGAAAGCAAGAAGAATGAGTCGAGGGAAACGTAACATTTTGAGGCGCCTCAAAATGCACCTCACTACACAAGGAAAATGGAGCGCGGGAGGAGAGATGGAAAGGGAAGGCGTAATAAGGAAAGCACGAGAATGAGAGAAAACAAGAAGAGATCAGAGAGCAGACGGAGCGAAGAGAAAGGGAGAGGACGAGGGAGACAAACGAGGAGTGAAAGAGAACAAGAATGGGAGAAGGAGAAAATAAAAAGGGTAAGAACGCAAGCTCACGAAGGCTCGTTTTGGGTTGACTGCTGCATTGATTGGGCTTCCATTGGTCTTGTCACTGCTGCTGCTGCAGCTGTTGCTGCCATCCCAACGAAAGCCGGCCCTCTTTTTGAAGCAGTGGCATTTTTTCCTTGGCCACTTGCATTCATCCCCTCTCCCACTCCCCGCCTCCCCCCTCCCTCTCCCCACTTCCCGTCGCCCTCTCCCCGCCTCCCCTCTTTCACAGCTGTTGACATTCTCGGTGGAAGGTTATCAGCAACACCTCTTGCGTTGTTCTTTGCCTTCTTTACCTCTCCAGCCGTTGCTCTGCATTCCTCCACCCTCCCTCCTGCTTCCCCTCTACCTTTTCCTGCCCCCACACTTCGCCCTTGCGCTTTCAGTCCAGTCCCTTGGCTGCTGCCAATACCAGCACCAGCAGCATCACCACCACCACCAGCACGAGCACCAGCACCGCCAGTAGCAACGGCACCACCACCAGCACCACCAGTAGCAACGGCACCACCACCAGCACCAGCAGTAGCAGCAGCAGCAGCAGCAGCAGTCAAACCAGTAGTGCCCTTCCCCACGTCGACCCTCCTCTCTTCACCCTTCACCCCAAAAATGTTCCCTCCAACCTCTTTCCGCACAGGAGAAGGCAGGGGAGAATTATGTTTAGGAGACTCGAAACCGAGCATGCTCCTCCCAATCTCTCGCCTCACAGGAGAGGACAAGGGAGACGAAACGCGCCCAGAGCCCCCAGCAAACCCAGCACCCGCTGCACCCGCTGCACCCGCTGCACCCGCTGCACCCGCTGCACCCGCTGCACCCGCTGCACCCGCTGCACCCGCTGCACCCGCTGCACCAGCTGCACCAGCTTCGGCAGGGAATCTCAGCCCCGAACCTGAGTTGTAGCTCACGTCGCTCAGGTCCGGGTTCCCTTCTTGGATCGTTATCGAAGCAAACGACGAGGCTGGGGACACGATGGCACTAGGTGGGAAATTCACCAACGGGCGGTTCTGGTCCAATCGCACGCCGCCACCTGGCGGGATGCCTAAGTACTTTCCAGAAATACCACCAACCGCCCTTCCCATCCCTCCTCCCATCCCTCCGCCCACTCGCTCCCTACCCCCTACCCTACTCCCAGCCCAAAACCCTTCCTCCGTATTTAGACCACCACTGGCACGTAAGAGTCCACTGCCACTTAAACCACCACCACCACTGCCGTCACCGCCGCCACCACTACCAGCAGAAGCTGCATTTCGGGAAAAAGCAAGTAAGCTCTTTCTGAGCTGCTTGACGCTCCTGGCATCGTCAATCAACTCCCTCTCGTGCTGGTCCAACGTTGCTTTGATAAACATCAAGTGTTGCACCTTCCGCCTCTTCTCATCCAGATCCGATAGCTGCAAGGGCGGGGGAGGGAGAATGGGGGATAGAGGGGAGGGTGGGAAGAACGATAAGAATAAAGGAGGAACGAGAGGGTTAGAAGTGGAAGAGAATAAGAGAAAGCTCTTTCTGATCTGGTTGACGCTCCTGGCATCGTCATTCAGTTCCCTCTCGTGCTTGTCCAACGTGTGTGTGTAATAAGTCGATTTTTGAGTCGACTCAAAAATCGTGTCACACTCAGTTCCCTCTCGTGCTGGTCCATTGTGGCTTTGATAAACATCAGGTGCTGCACCTTCCGCCTCTTCTCATCAGGGTCGGAGAGCTGCAAGGTACGGGGGGGAAGAAGACAGACAGGGCAGTTGAGAATGAAGAGGGGAAGAAGGGGAGAAAGAGAGAAGGCTATTTTTCACCCCTTCCACAACAACCACTCTGCTTTCTACCCACACTTACACCCCTTTTGCAACAAGCACACCCCTTCACTATAATCACACGCCCCCACTCACCTCTTCAACTGTCTCCATGCGGCTACTCCAGTCTCTCCTATACGCGTCTGACACGGCCTCTCATTCCCTTGCACCTTGAATCCCCACTAGAGCAATCACAAATTTCACTACAATCACACATGCCCTCACTCACCTCTTCATCTTCTTCCATACGGCTCCTCCAGTCCCTCCTAGCTGCCTCCATCACGGCCTCTCGCCCCTTCAAGCTCCCTTGCACCTTGAAACCCCACTAGTACAGTCACACCATTCACTACAAGCACACCACCCCCCCCCCCCCCTACCCTCACCTCTTGAACTGCCTCCATGCGGTTCCTCCAGTCCCTCATAGCTGCCTCCAGCACCCCCTCTCGCTCCTTCAAGCTCCCTTACACCTCAAAACCCCACTAGTAAGGCCACACCATTCAGTACCATCACACACAAGCTTTTTCACCTCTTCAACTGCCTCCATACGGCTCCTCCTGTCCCTCCTAGCCGCCTCCAGCACCCCCTCTCGCTCCTTCAAGCTATGAAATGAAAACCATTCACTACAGTCACACTCTACCGCTCTCACCTCTTCAACTGCCTCCATACGGCTCCTCCAGTCCCTCCTAGCCGCCTCCAGCACCGCCTCTCGCTCCTTCAAGCTCCGCCGCTGCTCCGCTGCAAACCGCCTGGCTTGTTTCAACATGATCTCGCGCTCCCTGGGAGGGAGGGGAGTGGGGGGAGAGGAGTGGGGAGAGGAGAGGAGTGGGGTTGGGACAGGGAATGGGGGAACGCGGGTAAGCAGGGGGGGAGTGAAAGGGGTGAGTGGGGGAGTATGTGGGGCTTGAAGCGCCCTAGCCGCCTACAGCACCCCCTCTCGCTCCTTCAAGCTCTGCCGCTGCTCCGCTGCAAACCGCCTGGCTTGTTTCAACATGATCTCGCGCTCGCTGGGAGGGCGGCGAATGGGGGGTGGGGAGGGGGAAATTGGGATGTAGGGGGAACAGGGGAAGGGAAGGAGTTGATAGGGGAACATGTAGGCTTGGTTTAACTCGCCAAAAACAAACAGACGGCAAGAAAGTCAAAACAAGATTTGAACGGGGTCCATCCAAAAACACACACACACACACACACACACACACACACACACACACACACACACACACACACACACACACACACACACACACACACACACACACACACACACACACACACACACACACACACACACACACACACACACACACACACACACACACACACACACACACACACACACACACACACACACACACACACACACACACACACACACACACACACACACACACACACACACACACACACACACACACACACACACACACACACACACACACACACACACACACACACACACACACACACACACACACACACACACACACACACACACACACACACACACACACACACACACACACACACACACACACACACACACACACACACACACACACACACACACACACACACACACACACACACACACACACACACACACACACACACACACACACACACACACACACACACACACACACACACACACACACACACACACACACACACACACACACACACACACACACACACACACACACACACACACACACACACACACACACACACACACACACACACACACACACACACACACACACACACACACACACACACACACACACACACACACACACACACACACACACACACACACACACACACACACACACACACACACACACACACACACACACACACACACACACACACACACACACACACACACACACACACACACACACACACACACACACACACACACACACACACACACACACACACACACACACACACACACACACACACACACACACACACACACACACACACACACACACACACACACACACACACACACACACACACACACACACACACACACACACACACACACACACACACACACACACACACACACACACACACACACACACACACACACACACACACACACACACACACACACACACACACACACACACACACACACACACACACACACACACACACACACACACACACACACAACACACACACACACACACACACACACACACACACACACACACACACACACACACACACACACACACACACACACACACACACACACACACACACACACACACACACACACACACACACACACACACACACACACACACACACACACACACACACACACACACACACACACACACACACACACACACACACACACACACACACACACACACACACACACACACACACACACACACACACACACACACACACACACACACACACACACACACACACACACACACACACACACACACACACACACACACACACACACACACACACACACACACACACACACACACACACACACACACACACACACACACACACACACACACACACACACACACACACACACACACACACACACACACACACACACACACACACACACACACACACACACACACAACACACACACACACACACACACACACACACACACACACACACACACACACACACACACACACACACACACACACACACACACACACACACACACACACACACACACACACACACACACACACACACACACACACACACACACACACACACACACACACACACACACACACACACACACACACACACACACACACACACACACACACACACACACACACACACCACACACACACACACACACACACACACACACACACACACACACACACACACACACACACTTACCCGAACGAGATTCCTCCATCGTCAAACGCCCCTCCACCGCTTTCAACCCCTCTGCACCGCACACGTAGATGAGCCCTCCCCAGATCCCCCTTCCCCAGCTCTCCCAGTCCCTCCGAACCAGAATCGCCCCATGGCGAGTAGTACCCTCCGCCGCTCCCCGTTTTCAATGCATCCTCCACCGTCCGATCATGACCAGATTCGCTCCCAACCGTCCGACTGCTTTTCCCCCGGTTCCTCAATTTCCTCCCCCCTGACCCCAGCCCAATCCGGCCCCCACTTATCCAGTCCCCGGCCAATACACTTCCTTCCACCTGCCCGGCCTGCCCGAGAGAAAATCTTGGCATGAACTCGCACGAGCTCTCCCCAAAATTGCTGCCGGAATCATATTTGCCGCCCTCAAAGGGGGCAAGGTTTTGAGCAGGAGAAACGGCTGCTGCTGCTGCTGCTGTTGCTGCAGGAGCTGAGGCATTACCACTGTTAGTACCAGTGGCAGCAGCAGCACCGCCAACAGCAGCACCGCCAGAACCAGCACCAGTACCAGCGCCACCAGCACCATTAGCAGAAGCAGCAGCGGCGACCCCATATCCACCCTCACCACTGCCTCCTACCTGCTGCCCCTGCTCCCCTGCCCTCGCTCTCCTATGCTCAGGGCGGGCTCCTGGAGAGGAAGTGAGGAGGAACACTAATTCCCCCACCCCATCCCCATTCCCATATCCGTACACACCCCCATCCCCGTTCCAATTCCCATCCCCATCCCCGTTCCCATATCCATGCTCATTCCCATTCAAGCCGTCTCGGGCAAAATCTGACTCCATGTCAAAAAATCCGTCCCATACATATGACTCCCCCACCTGCCGCCGCCGCTGCTGCTGTTGTTGCCCCATCACTCCTCCGACCCTTCTCGGGCTCCTCATGTTTCCAAACATCATCTGCTCATCCTCTCTCAAGTTCAACCCTGCACCTTGGCCGTTTCTCACTCCGCCCAGCATCAGAGGGGACTTTTCCGTCAAATCAAAAGAATGTCTCGGAACACCCCCCAGCACCCTCTGCTCCTCCCTCATCCCAACGCCTTGCCCGTTCCTCTCACCCCCCAGCCCCAGCAGAGCTGCCTTTCCCGTCAGATCAAACGAACGCCTTGACCCACCACCTCCCAGAACCCTCTGCTTCTCTCTCTCCATCCTCTCCTTCCAGACTCTTCTCAGCTCGGTCTCCTCTTCCCTCAACTCCCGACTCAGCCGTTCCAATCGCCACACCCTCTCCTCCTCCACTTTCTTCCTCATTACCACCTCCATCTCCCTTCTCGTTGCTTCCAGCTTCATTTGTAAATCCATCCTCATGCCCTGAACCTTCCTCTGAACCTTCATCTCAAGCTCCTCCCTCCATCGCTCTAATGCGCGCACTGCCTCTCTTCTCAGCTTCAGCTTTTCCCCTTCCAGCCGAACCTGCAGGTCGGTTCTGAACGAGTCTAGCACCTGGGTCGCCCGAACCTCCAGTTCCTCCTGCAGCCGCCGAACCTCACGCTCGGCCCGAGCCACTTCCCGAGCCTTACTCTCTCTTAAATTCTCTCGCAAGCGCGTCTCCTCCTCTTCTACCGAAGCTAGCAACTTGGCTCGGTATTCCCTAACCTCTGCTTCAACCTCGCCCTGTTGCCTAATCTCCTCCACCCGTTGCTGCCTGATCCTCTCATACTCCTCCGCCACGTCAGCATCAACTTTCCTCGCCACGTCAGCAAACAGCTCCTGCTTCCTGCTCTCCAACTGGTTCATCACATCTGCCTGCATCTCCTCCCACAGTCGCGCCCTCTCCTTCTCAATACCCTCTCGCAATTCTTTCTGCATTTCCTCCCACACCAACTCATGTCTCTCCTTTAAATCACCACCATCCTCGTACACTCCCTTTTCCCTTACCTTGCTTTGACCCATGTCCAAAATTACCATCCCTTCCTGACCAGACTCTGTTCCTTCTTCTCTCTCCTCCCCACCTGCCTCTTCACATCTAAAACTACCCTTAGCAAGATCCCAACTGCCATTCCTCTTACTATCCCCACCATTATCCTTCTTAAAATCCCAACTGCCTCCTTTCCTAGAAGCCTCAATTTGAACAACACCCTTAGCATCCGCGCTATCAGCCCTCTTGAAGCTCCCACTCCCTCCGCGTCTCACATTCTTGCCTTTAAGCAAGCCTTTCGCGCAAGCATCAGCGCTATCAACCCTCTTGAATTTCTCACTCCCTCCTGATCCGTCTGCTTTAAGCAAGCCCTTAGCAGCACTAGCATCAGCACTATCAGCCCTTTTGAAGCTCCCACTGCCTCCTATTCTTACTCCCTCCGCTTTAAGCAAGCCCTTCGCACTAGCATCGGCACTATCAGCACTCTTGAATTTCTCACTCCCTCCTTTTCCTTCAGCTTTAAGCATACCCTTGGCACTTGAATCAGCGCTATCAGCCCTTTTAAAGCTCCCACTGCCACCGATTCTGGGAGCATCAACACCAACATCACCAAGACGAAGCACGGTTTTTGAATCTCCACTTCCACTCTCGGCTCTTTTAAACTTCCCACTGTCACCCCCACCTCCTCTTTGTCCCCTTCCTCCTTGTTCCCCTCCTCTTTGCTCTCCTCCTCGCCATTCCCCTGCCCCATCTAAAGACCTCCTCCTCCCCTTCCCCTCCTCTCTCTTTTCTGCAGCTTCCCCTGAAGCAGCCGCAGCAGCAATAGTACCACCCACACGCGCTACAACAGGGTTACCAGCAGCAGCAGCCTCAGGGCTATCAGTGCCAGCGGTAACAAATCCTGAGGCCTTTTTTGGGTCTGAAGAGGATCTTCTCACATCCTGCCCTATGGCTGCTGCTACTTTAGAACCACCAATAGCTGCACCTGCGCCCGCTGCTCGAGATGCAGCAATGGTAGAAGCAGCAGTGGCAGCAGTGGCAATGGCAGTAGAAGCACCAGAGACAGCAACGGCAATAGCTGTAGGAGTCGCAGCAGCAGCACCAGTAGCAGCAGATTGCGCAGCAGCTGTCGCAGCCCCACCGATTGCCTCTCCTTTCCCTGTCCCTGAACCACAGCCAGCAGCAGCAGCAGGAATGTTTATCCCACCAGCAGCATTCCCACTGTAAACGCCTTCGCCGCCTGCAGCGGCAGCGGCAGCATTAGCAGCCGCATCACCACTGCCACCATCGTCACCATCGTCAGAGCTGCTCCAATCTGTGCAGGAGAGGTAGAGGGAACATACAGAGAGGGGGAACAGAGGAATGAGGCAGGCAGCGGCAGCAGCAGCATTAGCAGCCGCATCACCATCGTCACCATCATCAGAGCTGCTCCGATATGTCACGGAGAGGTAGAGGGAACACAAGGAGAGGGGGGACAGAAGAATGAAGCAAGCAGCAGCAGCGGCAGCGGCAGCGGCAGCATTAGCAGCCGCATCACCACTGCCACCATCGTCACCATCGTCAGAGCTGCTCCAATATGTGCAGGAGAGGTAGAGGGAACATACAGAGAGGGGGAACAGAGGAATGAGGCAGGCAGCGGCAGCAGCAGCATTAGCAGCCGCATCACCACTGCCACCATCGTCACCATCGTCAGAGCTGCTCCAATCTGTGCAGGAGAGGTAGAGGGGGCACAAGGAGAGGGAGAGCAGGAGAATGAAGTCGGCGTAAGCAGGGCATTTTGACTTTGAAAAGGCACAAGTGCTCACGCACGGACGCACAATCATGTACGCACGCATGCACACACACCTTCCTCCTCCTCCTCAGTTTCAGCAGGATGGCCATTCACGCCATTCGCCGCAACGGGAACGGAGCCTGCCCGAGCCAGGCTGGCAGCCGCGGCAGACTGACGAACCGAGCCAGGTTCGGGGGACCAGGAGGTTTGGTGAAAGAGCTTCACATAATTTTTACTGGATGAGCTTCGTGTTGTTGCTTGCTGCTGCTGCTGCTGCTGCTGCTGCTGCTGCTGCTGCTGCTGCTGCTGCTGCTGCGGAGGCCTTAGCTGCGACTGCTGGGCATGGGCGCGCGCAGGTGACCCTTTCTGCTGGCGCTGGCAGGGCAACGCAAGAGAAGGGCATGCAGGAAGGGTAACGGAGTGAGTACAAAAGTCGATTTTGAGTCGAATAAGAACATCAGGGCAATGCGAGACAAGGGTTCGCAGGAAAAAGGAAGACAGAGGACAAGGAAAAGGAGTGCGTGCAAAAAGGAGTGCGGTAAGTGGGGCTGGGGGCGTGCCTTGAAGCTGGCGGCGAGTGTGTGGTTAAGGAGGTTTCAAAACGGGAGCAAAGGGGAAAATTCAGGAGGGAAACGGAGGAAACATGTGAATTCAAACAGCCTCACCGTTGCAGCTGAGTTAGGCTGCAACGATCCTTGGCGAAACAAGTTTTCGTGATGCTCCCCTCTATTCTGTGGTGGCAGGGATGCCTGCCGTACATACGTCTCTCCACCCATCCCTCCTCCTCCCCCCATCATCCCTGTCCCTGGCCCCGCCACTCCCCAAAAGCCTCCTTTCCTCCCCGCACCCTCCACACTCCCACCGCCAGCCACAGCAGCACGAGCAGAAGCAGCAGCAGAACCACCACCACCACTAGCACCACTGGCAGCAGCAGGGGGGGGAGGGGCGCGGGCGAGCAGCAGCCTGGCCTTCTCCTGGTGGTAGACGGCGCGGTAGTGGTCGTCACAGGGGTGCTCCCACACGCTCTCGCCCGTCTGGAAGTTGAAATAGTAGATCTCCCCGTCCTCCGTGCCACTGGTGGGGGCGGGGGGGGGAGGGGGGGGGGGTAGAAGGGGAAGGGAGAGCGTGGGGCAGCAGTAGCAGCGGCACCAGCACTACCACCAGCAGCAGTAGGCACATTAAAGTTACGGCACTCACCAGGGCTTCCAGTTGGGCGGCAGAGGTGATTTCAGCCCCTGCCGCGCCACCCACAGCAACTCCTCCTCCCCCGGAAGCTCCATCCCCAACCACCGCGCGTACTCCAATATCTCTGCAAGGAAGCGGGAGAGGCAGAGCAGAGAAGCAGCATGACGAGACGAGGGACGCAGGGATGGGGGTTAGATGCAAAGGGAGGTGACTGACAGGGGATAGGCCACCCACAGAAGCTCCTCCTCCCCCAGGAGCTCCACTCCCAGCCACCGCGCGTACTCGAGAATTTCTGAGCGGGAGAAGGAGGGCAAAAACGCAGAGCACGGGAGCAGCATGGAGGACCGAGAGGGATGGGGGTCGGCTGGAAAGGGGGGTGAGGGATGGGCCACCCGCAACAGAGCAAACCCTCCTCTTCCTCCCTCGGAAGCTCCATCTCAAGCCACTGAGCGTACTCCAGAAGCGCCTGATGGGGAGCAGGCGAAGCAACAAACTATGAGGAAACGTCAGGAATCCATGAGAGACGGTCAGGAATCCAGAAGCAACGGGAAGGAATTCAGGAGGAACGGTCAGGAATCGAGGAGGAACGGCCATGAATTTAGGAGGAACGTCGGAAAATTAGGAAAAACGGTCGGAAATTCAGGAAAAACGGTCGCGAGTTAACGAAAAACGGTCGGGAATTTAGGAGAGACGGTCGGGAATTTAGGAGGGGTGTCTAGGGTTTCAAGAAGGATGTATGGAAATTCATGAAAAACGATCAGGAATCCAGGGAAAACGTCTGGGAGTTTCAAAGTTCCTGTGAACACGACTTGGAATTTATAAGGGGTGTCTGGGAATCTTGCCCCGGGACGAACGGCTATGCTTCTGTGAAACACGGTAAGACGTGCAGAGGACGAATACCTCGTCCTAGAAGGTGCTTGGCTTAGCAAGGGTTGACAGAGCATGGCTAGGAGGGTGACAAAGAAAAGACCAACGACTAAGATAAAAGAAGCATGCCGAAGTACCTTCTTCCGTCGGCTCATAATTCGCGTCAACCTCCTCCTCCAAAATGACGGACTCCATGGAAAAAACGTCTCCTTGGGAAGCTAGCGCCTTATTTTTTCGACTAGATGATTAGCATTGTCAGTCTCCTCCTCCAAAACGACGGATTCATGGGGGAAACGACCCCTCTAGAAACTAACGAAATTGTTTAGCGAACTGAAAGAATGATCGCAATCTCCTCCTCCAACATGACGGAATCCATGGGGGGCCAACTCCTCGAGAAATAAAATAATATATTCTAAATCGACTCAATAATGCTTAGCGTCAATCTCTTCCTCCACGAATTCCATGGAAGAATGACTCCCGTTAATAACGAAACAATGGATTCAGTGACTAAACTGTTGGGGTCATGAAGCCTTAAAATTACTAATCTAAGTCAACCTACAATTGCGAGTCGTCATTCTTTACTTTCTCTGTACCTTTATTTCTTTCCGCATGCTAAGCGAAATCAGGAACAGACGCTTCATTTTCATGACCATCAACAGCGCGCGTGAGAGGCCAAGTCCCATGGCTAGCTGATAGGACTACAAGTGATGCCCAGCCCCTGCACGCGAAATTGCCTTGTACATTCCAGAAACCTTGCACCCGTGGGTTTCCTGCCGCGAAGTTGCACCTACGTTACAGGCACGTCGACCAATAGGAAAGCCAGAAACGGAAGTCTGACTGATGTGACTGCAGTCAAAAAGTCAACGGGTGAGTTACAAAACTTTTCTATAAGCTTTTTTTGATTAATGCGAAAATCTTCACGAAATGCAAGAATCACTTATACGCTCATAGGGTATGCCAAGGTTGGGAGACTCAACCAGGCATCGCGTGTACTACGAGATTTGCTCACTCATGAAAAGCTGGAGGCGAAGCTCTAGAAATCTAGGTTCGGTAATGTCAGGTGCATCTTGTTAGTAACGGACGAACGGGAAGGACGAATGGGAAGCAAGCGTATGCCATATGTATCGAATGGACGGGCTGCAGCAAAGCAGCGCAGAAAGAGGGCACACGGAAACCCAAGGCTCGGAAGAGCTGTGGATTTCGCTTCGGAAACTTGTTGTGGTCGAGTTTCCGGTTCGGCTTCACATGGTTGTTGGCTGAACGGGTACATTTCAGGAGAAACCCTAGGTTAGAGCTGCGCGTTCAGCAGAACTCGACAACCTCGAAGGTCGTTCTCGCCGCCGCTTCAAGTGAATTGACCCGGTCCGGTGGGGTTCCAGTCTGGTTCGGAAGTGCAGAATACGGCCTGGGAGGAGAATGTGTGTGTACACAGCAAGGCAATGATTTGTAGTGTTGATGCCGAATTCGTGTAGCAGCTTTGGCAGGCGCTGGACGACACAGAATCGGCGTGACGAATCAGGTAACCAGTTCGGGAACGAAGTGTGGGCCATCGGATCTTGAAAACTGTTTCTGATTGGTGTTATTGACTGTGGTGACATGGCAATTCGCGTTATGAAGTTCCCCCGTTCAAACGAGCCTCAAAACAACTGCAACTCTGTATCAGAACACTTATGCTAAATGGCACCATATACGCCATCCGAACGCACATGCGACTGCCTTCCCTCCATCACCTGCTAATCAAAGCCTGGTGTTCCAAATCTCACCAGTATACGGATAGCGGGCCGCTGTAGGTGTACGGCTGGCTTTTGACACTAGCAAATAACTACAGACGCCATGCCTCTCTACACCCAGCTGTCGCTATTATCTCACTGCCATAATTGCTCAATATCGCCACCGTCCCTCTGCATTCGCTCGGACCGTCAGCCTGGTCTACCCATTTCTCGATCCTCCGCACAATCCAGCATTTCTAATAGTAGCCTCATGTCGAGTCGTAGCCTCGTCTTAGCGCCATTGCCGCTGCCGCTGCTTATGCCGCGGCGAAATGGTCCCTGGGATTCTGGAAACCGGCGGTCCTGCTCTAGCAGGATTGTAACCGCCGCGACGCCAGGCGCAGCCGGGGGAATGCGCGCACCCCCCGCTTCCCCTTTCGCTTCCCCCAGTTCCACCTCCCCGCGCTCCGCTATCCCCGGCTCCGCGTCCCCCCATTCCGCTCTGCGCACCCTCCAAACTCGTAGGCAATCCCGCTCTAGCCGCATCACAACCGCTGCAGCGTCAAATGCCCCGGGTGGAGCTTCCGCCTCCCCCGCATCCGCGCCCGCTGCGCCTAGGCCCGGCGCGAGCGGAGGCGGGGAGGCGCTTATATCGGGGGAAGGGCTGGCGAAGAGCTTCGGAATGGACGTTCTTTTCGAGGGGCTGGATGTGACTATAAGCAGAGGGCAGAAGCTGGGGCTGCTGGGGCGGAACGGATGCGGTAAAAGCACATTGCTGAGGATACTAGCGGGGATGGACGCACCTGATAAGGGCAAGGTGCAGCGCCGGCGGCACCTGAACCTGGCGTTTCTCGCTCAGGTGAATTCAACAATAACTACACGGCCAGTCCGACCCTAGCTGCTCTTATCTTTAGGCACATAAGGTTGTTGAGTAAACCAGGGGCCGGACCTGCCCGCCGGGATCCAGACCTGCCCGCCGGGATCCAGACCTGCCCGCCGGGATCCAGACCTGCCCGCTTATTTCTGTGCACATAAGGTTGTCAACACTTTTCCATGCCCTCCTTTATCCCTAACCCCCAACCCCAACTCTCGAACCCCAAACCCCAAACCCCGAACCCCGAACCCTGAACAGGACCCCGATTTACCCGCGTCTCTGTCTCTTCTAGACGCAGTACTATCTGCAGACAATGCCGCCATGCGTGCTGTGAGGGAGTACTCACTGCATTTCATAACCCCGAAACCCACTACCCTAAAATCACCAGGATCCGGACCTACCCGCGTCTCTGTCACTTCTAGACGCGGTGTTGTCAGCGGACAATGCGGCCATGCGTGCTGTGAGGGAGTACGAGCGAGCAGCACAGAGGATGAAGGGCCGAGGTGCGTGTGTGAATACGGTTTGTGGTTGTGGAGCAACTTGTAAAGGGGATGAGAGCAGGGGTGAGGGGAAGGGGCATTGGTTGGCAGGGCTATCATCGGACAATGCCGCCATGCGTGCTGTGAGGGAGTACAAGCGAGCAGCTCAGAGGATGAAAGGCCGAGGTGTGTGTTGTGGGGCGGCTTATATAGGGGATGGAAGCAGGGGTGAGGGGAGAGGGAGGGCTATCAGCAGACAATGCTGCCATGTGCGCTGCGAGGGAGTCCGAGCGAGCAGCGCAGAGGATGAAGGGCGGCGGTGTGTGTTGTGGGGCGGCTTATAAAGGGGATGAAAGCAGGGGTAAGCGCAGTATGCGTGTGGTAGTGAAGTGGATGGGTTGGAGGCCATTGGGGCATGGAATGTGGTGGCAGAGGCGGAGCAGCTCACATCTACTTTTTAGAATTCTCAAAAGTAGCTCACATCTACCTCCCTACACCCTAAACCCCCCTTGAACCCCTTCACCCACCCCCTCCTCCCGCCCCCCCCCCCCCGGTGCTTCCACCAGACCCCACCCCTCTTCAGAGGCAGCAGCGCTGCAGCGAGCCATGGATGGGGTGGAGGCGATGGGGGCATGGGACGTGGTGGCAGAGGCGGGGAAGAGGGTTGCTCATTATTCAACCCCCCTCCCCTACGCTCTCAACCCTACCCCTCAAAACCCCAAACCCCAAACCACCAGACCCCACCCCCTCGGAGGCAGCAGCGCTGCAGCGGGCCATGGATGGGGTGGAGGCGATGGGGGCATGGGACGTGGTGGCAGAAGCAGAGAAGCTGCTGGAGATCCTCGGGCTGGGGGACGCTGCTCTCACCAACGGTGGTGGCGGTGGTGGCGGGGGGATTATGGAGCGGCAAGTTTCGTCGCTTAGTGGCGGGCAGAAGAAGAGAGTGGCCCTGGCTGCGACGCTGCTGGCAAAGCCAGAGCTGATCATTCTCGATGTGAGTGGCTTTGTGCGTGATGCGAGTCAGGGAAGAGAGGGATTGAGGGAAAGGGAGAGATAGGAAGAGAAAGGAGGGAGAGGAGGAGTGGAAGAGGGCGGGTGGCCCCCTGGCTGCGACGCTGCTGGTGAAACCAGAGCTGATCATTCTCGATGTGAGTGGGCTTTGCCGATGTGAGTGGCTGTGTCAGTGTGAGTGCATTTGTTGATGTGCGTTACGAGGAGAAAAAATGAGGGAGGGAGAGGAGGATAAGGAGAGGGTGGCCCCCTGGCTGCGACGCTGCTGGCGAAACCAGAGCTCATCATTCTCGATGTGAGTGGCTTTGTCAAAGTGAGTGTGGAAGAGAAGGATTGAGGGAGAGGTGGACAGCTAAGACCTCAAAGAAACCAGAGCTCATCATTCTCGATGTGAGTCGATCTGCCTGCCTCTCCGCCTCTGCCTCTCCGCCTCTGCCTCTCCGCCTCTGCCTCTCCGCCTCTGCCTCTCCGCCTCTGCCTCTCCGCCTCTGCCTCTCCGCCTCTGCCTCTCCGCCTCTTCCTCTCCGCCTCTGCCTCTCCGCCTCTTCCCGCCTGAACAAGGGCAAGATTCAAAGAATTCTGCATTCACCACTCCCCCTTACCCAGATCCCCCACTCCTTTTCCTCTCCCTCTATCTCCATTACTCCTTGAATCCCCTCCTGCCACCCCATTGCTCTTTGCCACTCCTCACCATTAGGAGCCCACCAACCACATGGACGGGACAGTCATTGATTGAATGTCGCCCTGCCCCCTCCCACTGTCCATCACGTTTTCAATCCCCCACCCACCACTCTACCCACTGACCGCAGGAGCCCACCAACCACATGGACGTGGCGGTCATTGATTGGATGCAATCCGCCCTCTCCGACCCCTCTCTCACCGTCGTCCTCGTCTCTCACGACCGTTACTTTCTCGATGCCGTTGCACGCAAATGCTCGAGATGACACCCTTGGTGGCTTCTCACCCACACGCCCACTCATATTCCTCGCCTCAACCCTACCCCTGAACCTGAAAGAACCTAATTCCGTCTCCTCCTCCACCCACCCTCCCCCTCACCAGGAGCCCACCAACCACATGGACGTGGCAGTCATTGATTGGATGCAATCCGCCCTCTCCGACCCCTCTCTCACCGTCGTCCTCGTCTCCCACGACCGTTACTTTCTCGACGCCGTCTGCACTCAAATGCTCGAGATCGACCGGGGGACCTCCTTCCGCCACTCGGGCAACTACACAAACTTTTTGGCTGCCCGGGCGAAGAGGGCGGTCGAAGAAGCCGCCGCGATTGGCCGGGCAGCAAACACGCTGCGGCGGGAGGGGGAGTGGATGCGGCGAATGCCGAAAGCTAGATCGACTAAGTCCCGGTCGAGAATCGACCGGTTTTTGGCGCTTACTAAAGCAACGGCGGAGAAAAGGCAGCGGCAGCAGCAGGCGGCGGTGGGGAGTGTGGTGGAGATGGGTATGGGGGAGGCACGACTGGGTGGGAAGGTGTTGGAGTTGAGAGATGCTACGGCAATGCGAGGAGAGAGCACCGTGTTTGAAGGGTTTACGTGAGTGCGGTGGGGGAGGGTTGGGAGGGATGGGAAGGGATGGGAATGTGATTGTTTGGTGGACTGTGGCTCTTGGTATCACGGCTGTGTGCTGTGTGTGGGATGGGAAGGTGCAGGAGTTGAGAGATGCGACGGCCATGAGGGGAGTGAGCACTGTGTTTGAAGGGTTCACGTGAGTGTGGGGAGGCGGATGGGGGAGGATGGGGGTGTGATTACTTGGTGGGCTGTGGCTGTTGGTTGTACGGCTGAGGGAGCTGTGTGTGGGATGGGAAGGTGTTGGATGGAGCTGAGAGATGCGACGGCAACGCGAGGAGAGACCCCTGCGTTTGAAGGGTTCACATGAGTGTTGGGGAAGGGGTTGTGGTGGGGAAGGATGGGGGTGTGGGTTATGGGCATGTATTTTGAGAATTCTCAGAATACATATGCAGCATCAAATCTCAGAATACATATGCAGCATCAAATCTCAGAATACATATGCAGCATCAAATCTCTCTCCCAGGGTGTTAGTTACGGCCAGTTACGGTGCCTCATCTCAGTTTTCTATGCGCGTCAAAACTGAGATGAGGCACCGTGTTTACCCATGTCCTCTACCTTAGCCCCCTTGTCACATGTCCCTGAGATGTTTGCACAACTCTTCCATGTCCATACGGGAGCTTGCAGAGTGTGATAAGTCGAGTTTTGAGTTTTGAGACGTCTCAAAAGTCCATGTCCATACGGGAGCTTGCAGAGTGTGATAAGTCGAGTTTTGAGTCGACTCCGATGAGCTTGCAAAACTCGGCTTATCACGCTCTGCCTTGGCCTCCTTCTCCCCAGTTTGCACAACTCTTCCATGTCCCCAGCACGCACAAATACCTCCCGTATTCCGCATGCCCTCCATCCCTCCATCCCCTCATGCCCTGTCTTGGCCTCCTTCTCCCCAGTTTGCACAACTCTTCCATGTCCATACGGGAGCTTGCACGCATAAATACCTCCCGTATCCCCCATGGCCCCCATCCCTACATCCCCTCATGCCCTGTCTTGGCCCCCTTGTCCCCCATCCTCTTGCATGCTCTCCCCGCGGCATACCGTCAGGTATGAGTTTGGTCGCGGGGATCGGCTGGGAGTGGTGGGCCGAAACGGAGCAGGGAAGACCACTGTAAGCACCTTACCTTAACTAGCCACAATTTTCGAGTTTTGAGTCGACTCAAAACTCGACTCATTACACCCACTGTAAGCACCTTACCTCAACTAGCCACAAATTTCTTCTTCTTCTTCATGGATCGGCTTAACTTAACCCAATTTTCTGGGGTCATCGGTATTCTTCTCTTTTCTCCTTCTCTCTCTCGCCCCTTCTTCCCTCCCGCTCTCCTCACTCCTTTCCACTTTCCTCCCTCGTCTTTTGTCCCTCTTCCTCTTACAAGATTGTCTCTTTCCCCTCTGCCCCCCACCCCTTCCCTCCCTTCAGTTCCTAGATGCATTGGCAGGGCTGCTGCCTCTCCCATCGGGTACCAGAGATGTGGGGGAGACGGTGGTGATGGGCTATTACACACAGCACATGCCCCCCGTGCCGGACAACATGCTCGACTTTGTTCAGAACTTCCCCTTTCCCTTCTTCTCCCTCTCCCCTTCCTCTCCATCTCCCCTCTTCTCAGTTCCTAGACGCGTTAGCAGGCCTCCTGCCTCTCCCTTCCGGTACCAGAGATGTGGGGGAGACGGTGGTGATGGGCTATTACACACAGCACATGCCCCCCGTGCCGGACAACATGAGAGTTCTCGACTTTGTTCAAAACTTCAACCCGACAGCTGCTGTCCTCGGCTCCTGGGGCTCCATCCCTGCTGCAGCTGCCGCTGCTGCTGCTGGTGATGGTTCTGCCTCTAGTTCTTCTCCCGTTGCTGCTGGTTCGGGTGGGGCTTCTATGTCTGGAGGGAGTGGTTCGGACGAGCCTGTTTCCGCTTCGGAGCTTCTGGAGCGGTTTGGATTTCCCCGGGCGAAGCAGTACGCCTGGTGAGACCCTGCTTTCCCATTGTTGGCACTCAATATGTCAGTGGGCCTAATACATTCGGTTCACCTTAGTAGGCTCCCTCCGCTCCTTGAATATGTTCTTCCTCCGTTTCCCTCACGTTCCTCCCTCCTACGTGTCCATTTGTGTCTCCATTGTACTGACCTGTCCCTTCATTGTATCACTGTTGCACCCCAGCCATGCCCACACATCCGGGCGTCGAAGCTGAGTGGAGGGGAGAAACGGCGGCTGCTGCTGGCAGCAGTGTCGGCGCAGCGGCCAAACTTCCTCATGCCTCCTCACTGCGCCGCCCTGCCTCTTCTTTCGTTCTACTCATCTCCCCGTCCCCCGCTTTCCTGCACATCAGGGCGTCAAAGCTGAGTGGAGGGGAGAAACGGCGGCTGTTACTGGCAGCAGTGTTGGCGCAGCGCCCAAACTTCCTCATGCTGGATGAGCCCACCAACGACCTCGACTTACAAACCATCGAGGTATGCACTCTAGGCACTTCTGCCTAGCAGTCTTCTGCACAGCAGTCTTGGCGCAGCAACCCAACTTCCTCATGCTGGATGAACCCACCAACGACCTCGACTTGCAGACCATAGAGGTGAGCCTTGTAGGCACAAGTGTGTGTCTCTGTGTTTGAGACAGCAGTGTTGGCGCAGAGACCCAACTGCCTGATGCTGGACGAGCCCACCAACGATCTTGACCTGCAGACCATTGAGGTGAGCCTTGTAGGCACTGACACCGCAGCTGCTTGTTCTAGGTATGTTGGTGAAGAGCAAGGGTGTGCCTGTGTTTGAGACAGCAGTGTTGGTGCAGCGGCCCAACTTCCTCATGCTTGATGAACCCACCAACGACCTGGGCTGACAAACCATCGAGGTACCTTCTAGCCACTGCAGCTGCTTGCTTGCTGAGGCACGTGGGGATGGCACGGTTGTTCTCGGTATGCTGGTGAACATCATTGTGTGCGTGTGCTCAACACCCCTGCTTCTGTCCTTCCCCAGGCTCTGGAGTCATTCCTCTCAGCGTACGAGGGCTGTCTGCTAGTGGCCTCCCACGACCGGGCATTCATGGATGCGGTGGTTGACCGCCAGTTCGTGCTGCAAGGGGACGGACAGGTGTTGCTTTACGACGGGCTGTTCTCGGAATATCTCGCTGACGCGCAGGAGCAAAAAGCGGAGATGGAAAAAGAGGAGAAGGAGAGGGTTGCGGAGGAGGAGAGGAGGAAGGAGGCTGAAGCAAAGAGTGTGGCTGAGGAGCGGAGGAAGGGGGAGGAGGGAGCAGGTTCAGGTGGGATTAAGGTGAAAGGGAAGTCGGCTCGGAAGATGTCGTATATGGAGAGGAAGGAGTGGGAGCGGTTGGAAAAGGAGATTGAGAAGTTGGAGAAGAAAAAGGTGGCGGTTGAGGCACAGCTGGAGGAGAAGAGCAAGGCGGGAGATTTTGCGATGCTCCAAGGGTTGTCCGATGAGCTTGCTGCGCTGGGACAGGCTATAGAGGCGAAATCAGATAGGTGGCTCGAGCTGGCAGAGCTAGCTGAGTAGTTCTACATGGATGCCGATGACTTTTATTTGTTCACTTACCTGTTTTCCTTTTTTTGGGTTGCGTAGCAACCCTTTATATTTGGTTTCACATTTTGGGGATATCATTCAAAGAGTGTTATTTACGCACTTTTTGGAGCACTCGTTTGAATGTTTTGAAACTGTGTTCAAACGGATGCCTCAAAGAGTGGATAAAAAACACTCTTGAATGAGATCCCCAAAACATGTAAGCACGTACGTATCATGTTGAAACCATGAACTTGCTCGACCGTCACAACCTCGTCGATAAATACGGCGGATTGTACGGCCGGACATAACATTCTGGCATCGACATGAACGAATGCAATTGTACAAATGAACAACAAGGTATGAGGTGGAGTGAATGCTTCAAAATGAATGTTAAAATGCATCATGCAACAACAGAGGTTGATGGGGTCGTTGAAACAGCGAAAACACGCTGCCCCAAAGACGATTAACAACCTCTAATTGCATACATAACACATACTAACACCACACTTTGAAACACACATCCCACAAACACGAATGCAAACGCGCGTAAAACCCCAGTGAAACAAACACAATGACAACACATAAACACACACACGCACAAACACACCCGCACCGCACACACATACATACACAAATAGGTTTGGGAGCAGACAAGCATAACAAAGAGTTGCAATAAGTTAATTATGTATCAATCACTGCTACCTTGTCCCCCCCCCTTACTCCCCCTTTCTACCTTCCTTCCTCTCCCTCTACCATCGAAATCTCCTCCCACCCATTTCCACATTGTCTTCTCTCTCGATCCCTCCCTGCTCCCCACAACGCGTCTCGCACACCTTGCAAAACAAACAGGTCAAGCAGAAAATGAATTGTAGTCGGAAAACGGAGTGAACTATTCAATGACGAACACGCACTTGATTGTGAAATGGAACTTGAAAGAAATATGATAAGTACAAAAGATAACCGAATTCGACGACTCACAAGCGTGGTTTGAAGCAAAGATCCCCTGGGGTCACGCACACCACGCTGGTGTGCAGCAAGGCTCCAGCGAGCAAGGTGCCTTGGTGCAACGAGCTGGGCATCGCCATGCTACAAGGTGCCAGAGAGTTGCAGCAAGGCACTGGCAGAGGAGCAAGCGGGCTGCCGTAACAAGGCATGAGCTCACTGCAGCAAGGCATGAGCTCACTGCAGCAAGGCGTGAGCTCACTGCAGCAAGGCATGAGCTCACTGCAGCAAGGCATGAGCTCACTGCAGCAAGGCGTAAGCTCACTGCAGCAAGGCATGAGCTCACTGCAGCAAGGCGTGAGCTCACTGCAGCAAGGCGTGAGCTCACTGCAGCAAGGCGTGAGCTCACTGCAGCAAGGCGTGAGCTCACTGCAGCAACGCGTGAGCTCACTGCAGCAACGCGTGAGCTCACTGCAGCAAGGCGTGAGCTCACTGCAGCAAGGCGTGAGCTCACTGCAGCAACGCGTGAGCTCACTGCAGCAAGGCGTGAGCTCACTGCAGCAACGCGTGAGCACACTGCAGCAACGCGTGAGCTCACTGCAGCAAGGCGTGAGCTCACTGCAGCAAGGCGTGAGCTCACTGCAGCAAGGCGTGAGCTCACTCCAGCAAGGCGTGAGCTCACTGCAGCAAGGCGTGAGCTCACTGCAGCAACGCGTGAGCACACTGCAGCAACGCGTGAGCACACTGCAGCAAGGCGTGAGCTCACTGCAGCAACGCGTGAGCTCACTGGAGCAAGGCGTGAGCTCACTGCAGCAAGGCGTGAGCTCACTGCAGCAAGGCGTGAGCTCACTGCAGCAACGCGTGAGCTCACTGCAGCAAGGCGTGAGCTCACTGCAGCAAGGCGTGAGCTCACTGCAGCAAGGCGTGAGCTCACTGCAGCAAGGCGTGAGCTCACTGCAGCAAGGCGTGAGCTCACTGCAGCAAGGCGTGAGCTCACTGCAGCAACGCGTGAGCTCACTGCAGCAACGCGTGAGCTCACTGGAGCAAGGCGTGAGCTCACTGCAGCAACGCGTGAGCTCACTGTAGCAACGCGTGAGCTCACTGGAGCAAGGCGTGAGCTCACTGGAGCAAGGCGTGAGCTCACTGGAGCAAGGCGTGCGCAATAATTTGCCAGCGCGCAGCGCTGCAAGGCCGCTGCAGGAATTCGCCAGCGCACTGCCGCAACAAGCAGCGCACAAGCCACCAGCGCGCGGCACGCTGCAAGGTGCCAGCGAGCTAATCGCCAGCGCATTAGGCGCCAGCGCGCTAGGCGCCAGCGCCTTAGAAGCCAGCGCGCTAGGCGCCAGCGCGATAGGCGCCAGCGCGCTAGGCGCCAGCGCGCTAGGCGCCAGCGCGTTACACGCCAGCGCGCTAGGCGCCAGTGCGATAGGCGCCAGCGCGCTAGGCGCCAGCGCCATACGCGCCAGCGCGCTAGGCGCCAGCGCCTTAGGCGCCAGCGCACTAGGCGCCAGCGCCTTAGGCGCCAGCCGCTAGGCGCCAGCGCTGTCAAACATTATATATGTTATGCTTGTGTAGGCTACAGTGGGTTAGCCTATAGGGGGTACACAGTTCTAGGGTTTACTACTTGTACTCATTTTCACTTCTAGTTCATTCATTCCTGTTCGCTTATTCTCACATGGTATAGAGCGGGTCCTTCTACGGACCGTTTTTTTTTTTGGGCCCACCGAAGCGCCCCCCGAGGCGCGATCTTTTTTTAGCGACCCCTCGGGTCGCCATTTCCCCTGCGGCCCCGCCGCCTTCACTGTCGCGGCCCCGCCGCCCTCTTTGACGGGGCCCCGCCGCCGGCCCTTACGCGGCCCCGTCGCCGGCTCTCACGCGGCCCCGCAGCAGGCTCTGTCGCGGCCCCGCCCCGGCCTTTACGCGGCCCCGCCGCCTGCTCTCACGCGGCCCCGCCCCGGCTCCTTCGCGGCCCCGCCGCCTGCTCTCGAGCGGCCCCGCCCCGGCTTCTACGCGGCCCCGCCCCGGCTTTCACGCGGCCCCGCCGACGGCTTTGTCGCGGCCCCGCCCAGGCCCTTACGCGGCCCCGCCGCCTGCTCTCACGCGGCCCCGCCCCGGCTCCTTCGCGGCCCCGCCGCCTGCTCTCGCGCGGCCCCGCCCCGGCTTCTACGCGGCCCCGCCCCGGCTTTCACGCGGCCCCGCCGACGGCTCTGTCGCGGCCCCGCCCAGGCCCTTACGCGGCCCCGCCGCCTGCCTTCGTCGCGGCCCCGCCCCATCCCGGCCCAGCCGCCCCTTCGCGGCCCGGTCGCCTCCTGACGGCCCCGCCGTCCCTTCGTGACGGCCCCGCCGTCCCTTCCTGACGGCCCCGCCGTCCCCTCCTGACGGCTCCTGCCGTCCCCTCCTGACGGCTCCTGCCGTCCCCTTCTACCGGCCCCGCAACTGCACCTGCTGGCCCCGCCGCTGCACCTACCGGCCCCCCACCACCCACCCCCCCTTTTCCCGTCGCCCGTCGCGGCTCCTTCGGGGGCCGCGCCAGCAGAGGGGTGTCAGGTGTGTGGCCTCCCCTGCTTCTCCTCCTCCTTCATCTCCCACTGCAGCAGCCGAGCCGCTCACCTGCAGCAGCCGAGCCGCCCCACCGCCGAGCCGCCGAGTCACCGAGCTGCTGAGCTGCAGTTGCTGCCGAGCCGCCTTACCGCCGAGCCGCCCGAGTCGCCCGAGCCGCCGAGCCGCCGAGCTGCCGAGCCGCTGAGTCGCCGAGCCTACTCTTCCCACCACTGGTGAGCTCTTGCCCTGCTAGCACGCTGCGCGTCGCCTGCTTGCCTGCCTGCCTGCCTTTTGGCTTGCCTGGCTGCCTGCCTCCCTGCTGCTAGTCCTGCTCCTACTTCTAATTGCGGAGCCAAATGCAGCCCCAGCGACGCCGGCGTGAGTCCCTCACGCCCCAGCAGCTGCGTGAGTGGTACGCTGGTTGGGGCTGTAGGGGTGGCGACGCTACTCCTACTACCACTCCTGCTGCTTCTACTCGTGGTGGCGGCCAGATGCAGCTCCCGCGACCCTCTCGCGTGTCTCTCACGCCTTGCCAGCTTCGTGAGTGGTACGCTCAGAGTGGAGGGTCTCTCAGTGCTGTTCGCTGCTCTTACGTGATTCGCACTGGTACTCGGACTGGTCAGCCTTGTGGGACACATAGTCATACACCGTCCCGCTGCTTCGCCCGTCTGAGCGACGCCTGGCGTACCGTGTTTGGCGACGAGGCTGAGCTTCCCGACTGGGTGGAGTTGCTTAGGCAGAGGGTAGATATATATGCTCTTGACTATGATGCTATTCTCACTGCCATGTATGCATTGCCTACTAGTGCTGACCGTGCCGGTCACCTGTGCGTCCCGCCTGACCCAGGTATAGGACCTGCTGCTCTAGCTACTGGTGAGGCTGCTGCTCTGGGTGCTAGTGACTCTCCTGCTCCAGGTACAGGTGCGGCTGCTGCTCTAGGTGCTAGTGAGTCTGCTTCCTCAGGTGCGGGTGAGGCTGCGCTCTCAGGTACCGCGTTGGCTTCGGCCTCCCTCACCTTTACACTTGACTCTGGGGCTTCTCGCTCTTTCTTTCGGGACCGCACCACACTCACGCCGCTTGGTCGGCCGGTTGCGGTCTCCCTGGCTGACCCCTCTGGGGGTCCTGTCCTCGCTCACTTCTCCACTGTCCTCCCGTGTCCGGCTGCCCCCTCGGGCACCCTGTCTGGCCTGTACCTCCCCTCGTTCTCGACGAACTTGGTGAGTGGTGCAGACCTACAGGATGCGGGGGTTCACCAGTTCACTCCTGCGAGTCAGCGGGTGACCCACTGCACGGACGCACGCACAGGCCGGCACCTGGCCACGTTCTCGCGTCGGCCGGGGTCGAGCCTCTACACCCTGACCACTGAGTCTCCTCCTGTCCCCGCGTCCGGTCAGGTAGCAGCGTCGGGTCAGGTGTTTGCTGCTGCGTCCAGGTCTGGTCCTGAGTCTGCCCCCTGTTCGTGTCGCCTCCTGTCTCACGAGACTCTTCTGTGGCACCACCGTCTAGGCCAC